TCTTAGCATTTCCTAACCATCAGTTTTTAAGTAACGGTCATTCTGTAACTTACACCTGAAACTAAAGGGTCGAAACTTTACACTCGTTGATAGGAAGAAATAGATGAATCGTAATGGCATCACTGGTCAATTTGTTGTCGATATTGTTTCCAGTCTTGCAGCGATATTCACCACCTATCGAGAGAAAATGTGAGGTTTTCTGCATGAAGCACAACAGACACTTGATTTAAAGTTTGGTGAACAGATAAAAATGAAATCAACCACTGACTAAATTTCACGATTCTTGCTGTACCTGCTCATAATCGTTTTTTTCTTTTTTTGCGCGCGCGCGCGCAGAAAGTTACTTTTCCACCGGACGTGTGATTGGAAACTGAATCTGACTGGCTATTATCAGCGCGTGCATTCATTCTCCATTGTTACATCATAAAAAAAAACTACTTAAGTCGTAAAGTAAATTTCACCTGCTTTGAAGGTTAGTACTTGATGGTTCGTGGCCTTGGCATATTGTATGGATGAAAAGAAAAGAGAAGAAAAACAGTCAATCAAGAGGGTAAGTGCATTTCTACAGAATTACTTATATTTTTACATCGGAAGTCTCTCCTCTTTGAGTGGGATCCGGTGGAATGAATCTTTATATTTCATGTCCTCTGTGATCGTTTCAAACGAATTTTCTTCTGTTGAAACAATAACAAAAACAATGTTGCTCAGTTTACGTTTACAAAGCTTCTTACCATTGATTACCAGAACAGATGACAGACCCGTGTTGCCTGGCATTATAAATAGTCTGTTAGCTGTTTTCCTTTCAAACAATTACTGCCATGTGTTTCCTTTATGCAAAACCAAAGAACCTAGAAAAATTTTCACTAGTTTAAATTAGGCAATACCGCCAATTTTTTGTAGCGTCGATAAATTGACCGTTAATGTTGTTTAATTTTTTAACCTATCGGGGATCTAATGCCTCATTCAAAACAAGTTTAATTAAACCAGGTTCCAGCGACAGCTAGTGAGGTTCAAACGTTTTGTTTCATTAGCACACTTGTAATCACCCGAAATCAATAAGCAACTTTTATAAAACTGTTCATGTTGTCCTTCAGCAGCATGATATAAAGAAAATTTAAATTGTTCAAATGAGGCTTTAAACTGCTGTCCATTTTAAAAAAATATAAAAATCCAAAATACAATGGTCTATGGGTCGAGTATCTCCAGACAGAGGGCCTCTTAAAATACATAAAATAGTTTCTGAACATAAGACAACTACGGAATTTTTTTAATCTTAAATGCAGTCATTAGGAACTCAAATCCGTAAAAAAAATCACTAATATTTGACAAGTTAAACGACAAGGAACACCTACAATACCTACATTACCAACATGGAACCTTTTATGAAACTCCACATAACCGTTAATTTTTTCAAATTCTCAATATCTTCTCCCACCGCTGTAAGAGGCTTTGTGCTTAGAAATTGAAAATGGCTGCTTTGAGGTAACTTGATTGACCAGGCGCTGCACCCTTTTTCCTGCTGCACTTAGTCCATAATGTTTTTAATTCATGGTTATCTATGCATTCACCATTAGCACATCTCCCGTAATATACCTTAGCATAACCTTTGTTTCCAGTTTCTCCCGGGTATTTCAGTCGTCCCAAGAGAAATAAAAACAATACTTATACAACATTTTGGAGTTTAAACAAGGTGTAATATGGGAGATCTGAAAATGGCGAAAAAACAGGGGAGGATATTCTTGATGAAGGAAATTCCGAATTTTTGCTTCAATAAGTTGAATGTTAACAGTGTTCCTAGCACACTATTAGTTTCATAGAGCATACCCTTTGACTACTATAATCTTGCCACAAAAAGAAACATCTATTCACCTTTCTCTCTTTTCATTTTGGTGTTGTTGGGCTGCGAACAGTCTCTTATTTTCCTTGTTTAATTCACATGGACCAAGAGCACGCGTTCCCTGCCCACCCCAACCCCTTTTCGACTCTCCCCAGACTTCTTGTGGGACCCCAGAAGCGAAAGTTGGCGGCAGTGTATGATGAAATGAATCGAACGATTCGTGGATTTTCGGGTGCAGTAATTTTGCCAACGTCATTGAAGTATAAGAAAGTAACAGACATTTACAAGGCAACCCACAGAATTTTAAGAACACTGTTATTGACCCAGTCAATACCTTAAAATAATGGGGTTTAGTGTGCTAATCCCTCTTTCGATCGTCCGCTCTGTACAAAAAGCAATTTCGATCAACAACAATCGTCTGACACTATTTACTAAATAAATGAAGTTTATTTTATTAGACTTACTTATGAAAATACATGAAATAATATCTAAAATATTTCTTGGTTTGTCGCTAATTAATAGAGCAGTAAGTATCAGTTCCCGATAAAGTTAATTTACATTATTCTATCTTTATTAACAATTAATGAATGAGGCTGAGTATCTTATGAAGAATTATGGAGATCTCGGAGGGTGTTATCCGTCGAGGCCGTATCCTCCGAGATCTCCATTATTCTCCATATGATACGAAAGCCGAATTCAATAATTCTTTTGTTATTCATTCGAAATAATTCCTAGTTTAAAAACATGGCTAAAACATGCTTACCTCCATCGATCCATCTTTGTTAAGTTTATCTTCGATAGTGCACGTTTAGGGTTTGCTCAGCTTCGCAAATATTCTCCAAATAGGAGATGTCGCCCTTCGAGTTGTCCTTTGCTGTTCTTGCCATGTTTTTAGTCATTATTTTGCCTAGTTCTTACTCTTGAAACGAGTGAAATGTCCGCCATTTTTGTTCTCACAACCAAAACAACTTAACTCGTCCCAAGGTCTTTTCGGTTAACGGTGCATTAACCTACAAAAAAGCTGCAATTTAGACGTCATCGGTTCATTAAACGCAAAATTCTTCCAAATTTTGTCATCAATAGCTTGGTTATGGTGAATTATGCGTGTGCTTTTAGCCAATCAGAATAGGGGAAATATTTTGAATGAATAATAATCTTTTAGCTATTACAGAAAACGACAGGAACAGTATTAGCACATTTCTTGCTTTACCCTCAACGTCGTGACGGAATTTAGAGTTGGTTGCATTCCTTTATTTTACACTTTGGAAAGAGTTCAATGGATAGTGCACGCCTAGAAATAATAATATAAGTTAATTGGGAACAAAAGAGGACGATGAAGCGTTTAGGCTTGAGAATTTCCTATTTCGTAGTCTTCTTCTCTAGTCTGCGCCGTTGTTTCTCTGACAAAACCGACATTGTAATACACGGGACAAGTGTAACGCCCAGGGATGTTGCAATACTCCGGTTTATTGTAATGCCCGCTAACATTGTCATACTCGGGAGCTGCAGTGGAGCCTTGTAATGACTGGTACTCAGGCGCTGCGCGCAATTGCCTCTCAAATGGTCCAGGGTTAAGCTCCATATATGGCTCTGACACGTGGTGTTCACGTGATGAATCATCTTGACCTATTGCGTTAGAGGTGTAGTTGTCTGAGGAACTGTTCCTGGTGGTAGATGGTCGTCTCTTTCGCCACAGCAAAAAGCCAATTATGATAAGCAATATGACAACAACAAAGGACAAAGCCAGGCCAACGATGCGGAATACACTTTGTTTACCTAGGAAAATAATTGATATATTACTGAGAAAATTCGTCCCAACAGTAGTTAATAATAGTCGTTTTTTGGATTGATCTATTTTTACTATAGAGTTGTAAAACTATCTTATGTGGTAGCATTTTTTTATATTGGCTAACACGGTGAAAACCCCTTGACCCCTTGGGATAATTCCCGCACGCTTTGCTGAAGTAGGGATTTATCTTCACTTATTTTTATTCTTGTCCAAGCAAAGGAAGAACGTCTGAGAGCTTGAGGCGATGAAGCATGCCTTCAAATTAAGAACACTTGCCTCGCTTGGAATTCAACAGCACTTCTGAGTTTTCTTGAGCGCGTGCAAACGTCTTAAGCCCCGTGCAAACGGATGCAACATTGTTGGCCAACAACTCCTAACTTTGTTGGATGTTACATGTTGCGTACGTTTGCACACCCTGTTGCGTGTTGTTGGATGTTGTTGCCTGTTGTTGGGCAAAGTTTGAAACCGGTCAAACTTTTCAGCCAACAACTCCCAACATTTCTTTTGTTCCATGATCGCCGAAGCGTAGCGCAAAAATGTTGGATCCGTTTGCACAACTCTTCCAACTTTGTTGGGGCCGCGCACGCGCATTACGCATGGTTTACAAAGACTTATGGGTTGTATCCTTCCCAAGATGCACTGCAGGTCCCAACATTGCCAACACGCACGCATGCACGCAGCCTTAGCGAGCGCTTTAAGTTTTATTAGGCTTAGCAACTGAACGGGAACGTTAGTTGACGACAGGAAAGCGCGCAAAAAGAACTGAACGCGACTTCCGGTGCCTACTTTGGCAGTCTACCATTGGTCAAGCCAGCTGTTTGATTTGCGCGCGCCATCCTCAACTGACGATCCCGTTCTGTTGCTAAGTCAAGGCAAACGTTACTGATGTCAGTACAATCTGGTTCCCAGGGATCTCTCCTCCCTGACTCTCGCTCAGAACAACGAGTGCGAGAGATCCCTGGGAACGACGTTGTTGCCAGTATTGACTTTAGACGTTACTGTTGAGTGTCTTTTACCTTCGTAAAGACGATTTTCCTTAAAATATGGTCAAAACCACGGCCCAAGAATGCAAAAAGTCCACTTCTGGTTGATGTGCGTCACTCGTTGCTTAAGCTTCCTATTGCAACACAAGTTTAACTCTATACGCATGCTACAATAACACGCACCTGCCATATTTTCGGTCATTGTTTTCATTTTGATGCGTTTTCGACCGTTTTCACACTTATGGGATATGTATGCGTTTCGAGCGTTTTTAAAACGATGCGTTTTCGATGAAAACGCTCAACGTGCTAGTGTGGACGGAGGGCCTAAATGGATCGACATGAATGCGGCGTTGTCAAGCGAAAACGCCTAAGTGTGGACAGAGCTTAAGAATTAACTTCTCTTACCAGCGCCTTCTTTTGTCCTCATAGTTCTCACAGTGGTGGTGGGTCCATCTCCAACGGAAGTAAATGCCAATATTTTAAATTCATATTCTGTATGTTTATCAAGCCTTGTTACAGTTTTAACACGAATTGCTCCATCGTTCATGATAATTGTGGAAACTGGTGACCCCGCTGGGTCTTCCTTTTCGTAAAATAATTTGAATCCTGTAATGTTACCATTTCTGGAATGAGCCGGAGGAAGCTGCCAGCTAGCTGTTATACTGGTGGAGGAAACTGCATTCAAAGTGAAGCTAACAGGAGCTTGTGAAGGCACTGCAATAGAATGAATTGAAGAGCAAAGAACAAATAAGATAAGAAATATTTTTAACTCTAGTATTTTTCTATTATTCTATGAAATATTGTGAGCTTTAAGAGGGGTCAGAGAAGCTTGCACCTATACAGAGGACGTTTCTACGAATTCAATAACAATAACATAATAGGGAACTTAAGCAGAGTCACGTTTGAGCGACGCACGTCAACCAAAAGGTATTTTCCTTTCAACTCCTCGCAAAGCGAGGCAAAAGGCCTTGCGGTGAGAGTTATGATCTCGTTCCGCGCGCGAAGCGCATGCACAACGCGTGGACCGCGCGTGGTCTTAGCGGCCTTCAAAATCGGCTGGCCTATATATATTTCTATATTTCTATGAATATATCCGATGGTAGCCGCCCTGACGTCATCCACTGTGTGATGTCACCAGGTCACTGGGCATTTTGTGTTTCTACACATCATTCGTCTGCATCCAGTTTGACATCGATGACCATGAAGCACTATCACTTGTTTTATTAAGATTATTAAGCGTCTGTATATTTCGATTCATAATGTTTTCAGCCAGTGATCGAATCACGAGCGATTACTGATCATAATGATAATCAAAATCGTAATTATCATCAACACCGTCAACATCAGCAGCATGATCTCATTCTTCTCAGCCACTGCCGTGATCATGACCACGCCATAATCATCCCATTACTATCTCCACTCTTATATTCTGAACTCTTTGTTGTTCAATTTATCGATGCATTTTTAACATTAGACGACGGTAATTTAAAAGAAGCACAACTCTAACCTTTTGGCTGGACAATGTACAACTCTGACTCTTACTAAACTAATGTGTTGCGAAGTAATGAAAAATGTAAGGCGCCATTATAAGTTTCACTAGACGTGTTTTACTTGTACTTTCCTTTCATCACTCCTTACCATCTTCAAAAGTCCTTATTAATATGATGGGGCTTCTTGGTCCATCACCCGCAGATGAAAAGGCCAACACTTGGAATTCATATTCTGTATATTTACCAAGCCCTGTGACGTTTATGGAAAGGGTGGAATTACTTTCAATGGTCTCGACGCGAAGTGGGTCTACAACAGAGCTCTTTCTTTTGTACAGCAATTTAAATCCAGTGATTGAGCCCACAAGCCAGGACGCTGATGGAGGTAGTTTCCATGCTGCACGAACGCCTGTGGAGGTCAGCGGAACCACGACAAAGCTGTCTGGGGATCGGTTTGGAACTAAAATACAACAGTTATTTTACTGAGCATTATTTGCCTTCATGAGTTTTGAGATTAAGTGATAGTCGTCCCCTAATCTACACTTTTCTTTGACATCGATATGGACGTTCGCGTGAAAATCTTTTACACTACTTGTTTTGTCTATACTTTACTCTCAGATAGTTTGTTTGTTTTTTAGTCAGTTAGTTACTTAGTCAGTTAGTTGAGATTACGAATGATTGTTCTCATAAAAGCCAAAGGTACAGAGGAAAGTATCCTTATGGAGAAATATGCTTAAAAAAATAGTCTTAAAATTGGCACTCGTGAGAGGGATTAGCGTCAAGACGCTGTTAGTTTAAATATTATTCTCCCTGGTCTAAAATTTTAACTATAATAGAATTTCTCCTTTTTTCGGCCACACAACGTCCATCTCTCCACAACAGGCCCATATGTGTTTGTCCAGGTGGTTACACTGACTCTTGTTTTACCCTTCTTAGCGCGGTTTGTAGTTTGGTACATATCGTTACTGAAAATAGCCTTAATACCTAACAGTTACTCATAGACGAATGCTGTTAATTATAAGCTCGAGTGAGGTAAAAGAGCGACTCACCTGTAGGTTTCAATACTCCATATACTTCAACCCTCAAAGCCTTATGTGTTGAGTAAGCAACTGGCTGGAACCGGATATACCTCGCTCTAGTGAGTTTGACTAGATTATTCTTAACTGTGTCGTTTCTTCCATTATTACCGTGAAATATCTAAAATAGATAGAAGTAATAGACGTTAAAGAAGCAGAACGGCTTAGTAACTCTGGTCTTCTAAGTACTACTGCAAAATGAGGTTAGAGAACAATTCAGACTTCATCATCGTTAGCATCTTCATCATCATGAACATGTACATAAACGTTATTTTCATCGTCATCATTATCGTCATCAACTTCACTACCATCATTAACAATATCATCATCGTTATTGCCATTATAATCATTCTCCGTTTATGACCCAAACTGGGACAATAGAAACTACAAAACCCTCAAAATGACTAATCTAGTGGCGGCTTATCAGCAGAACGCAGTGTTCTAGTTGGTCAATAACGAACTAACATTTCTTCCATATAAGGCGGGGCCAGATCATTAAGTGATTTAAATGCAAGCAGTAAAAATTTAAAATCAATTCTTTCCGGAAGAGGCAACCAAAGAAGAGACCTGAAAACGGGTGAAATATGTTCATGTTTCCTAGTACCAGTCAAAGTTCGTGCGGCAGAATTTTGCAAAAGCTGAAGTTTGAAAATACGATTCTATCGAAGTCCGGATAACAGAGAGTGTAAGTAGTCCAGTTTTGACATAATAAATGCATGTATTAAAATCTTGCAGTAAGTAAACGATATATATTTCATAAATTTAGTGACGAACGGGGGAACAAGGGGGGAAAGGAGAACAAGGGGGGACGGGGAAACAGGGGGAACAAGAGAGAATACGGGTAACAAGGGAAACAAAAGGGAACGGGGTAACGAGAGGAACAGGGGAGCAAGAGGAAAAAGGGGGAACAGGGGGACGGGGGAACAAGGGGAACAAGGGGGAACGGGGAAAGAAGGGGGATCAAGAGGAAGAAGGGGGAACGGGGTAACAGGGAGAACACAGGGAACAGGAGAAAGAAGGGGAACAAAAAGGAGCACGGGGAACAAGGGGAACATGGGGATTTCGGAGAATAGGGGGAACAAGGATGTAAACAGCGGCTACGATCGAAGTGAATGTTGTTTATCTGCAGTGTTCTTTGTGTTGTTTATTTGCTGGCACGTACGGTTTTGGAGAATATTTGCCCTATTTTTTCCCCATAAATAGATTTCTATTTATAGAGCGTTTTCACTCACGTGGTCATCATCTATGCAAATTTATTGGAACAAAAGAAAGCATTTACATAAGAGAAGAGATTAAATCCCACACACAGGACATGTTTAAGACACCAACATGGCTGCCGTTTCATTGTTTTGGGACACCAATATGGCCGCCGTGACGTCATGTGAAAACACTCTATAGGCAAAATTGGTCTTACGAGGAAATTCCGGGTTCACAAAACAGTGACAAAGCAGTCTCGCTAATTTTGCTCTGTAATGGTAAACATTGCTTCGAGCGAAAGTAAAACTAAACAACGCGAAATAAAAAGTTAGCCACAGTGAAATTACTTCATAATAAATCACACTGTTCAAACATCATGACCTCTTTTCTTATCTTCAGAATCATCAATTCTAGGATATTTTTGTATTTTCTAAGAGTTCCTACTTTGAAACTTTGGCAAAATACCTAGTTTACGACAGTGATATTTTTTCTTTATATTCAACGCCTAGCGCGTTGAATATAACGTCATAGTCCGAGGAGACAGTCCCGAGCGAACCAGTCAGATGGGTCGAATCACCAACAGCACTGAGTGTGTATACAGGTATACTAAACACTTATTTGGCACCTTATTCTTAGTGATCCAAAGCGCTTTACAATACTAATAGTAATAATAAAATATTACAATGACTAATAGTAATAATAAAATATTACAATGACTTATTTGTTAAAAAAAAACACACATGAAATTATAACTGAAAAGCGTACTTAAAAAGAAATGTGGTGATTTTTTAATTGAAAGCGCTCAGCTCACAACGTGTGCGTAAACTGACTGACATGGAATTCCATATGTTAGAAGCTGCGTGTGAATAAGCTCTGATCCCTAAAAATTTTCAGTCTAATACAAAAAGTCAAGTTAGAGCTATAGTAATTATAATATATTGCGATAGAGAATTTGTCATGTACTGCGCCCAGTATTGCATATATCTGTCTGTTTTAACATACCTTATCTGTGTTGTTCTCCTGGTAGCTGTGCCAGTTGATGCTGTCCAGTGAAAAACGCAACTTATATTTTGTTGTCCAGTGGTCAGTGACTGGATTTCCTTGAGTTGCAACAGCACAGATGAAGAACTCGTAATGCAAGTTAATTTGTAAGTAGTCATCAGTATGAAGATCGCTGCTGGGTGACCAAGCACCATTTTCATTTAATAGTCGAGCCTTAAAGGGCTCGTGTCTCGCACGTGATGTCGAGGCTGACAAGCTGCTGTCTGGAAAGGCATCTCTGCTGGTCACACCAAGTGCTTGAATTTGACAAGCTAAAAATAACCTTTCATTTAGTAATGAAATTTAAAGACCTTTTCGCGGGATTTCAAACATTCTACGGTTATTTCGTGGTCTCTCATACACTTCGAGCAATACCTGGGAGAGTCGAGCGAAATATATAGGAGAGCGCGCGTCCGTACGCAGTTATCTGTGGGTGACGTAATAATATCTAGAACAATCAAAACTTCATTGAAAGAGCAGAGTTTTACAAACTTTAAATCATCAATGAATAAAATATCCTTTGGAGAGCAGATTGATTTTCTTTTGTTTTGTATTGAACCCCGAAGAACGCGAACAAACTGCACGCGAGCAGAGCATTAACGGGAGCAAATTAACTTTCTTCTCTACTGCGCATGAACAGGCATTGTCAATACGCAGTTATCTCTAATCTTCTTCCCAGAGGCTGCGATACGTTTGGTCAGCACCAAGGATCAAGGGTAACAAAGGTCCTTGGGAAAAAATTGGGTTACATCTGACTGGGTGACGCAATGATATCTAGACCAATTAAAATTAATGATGATCGTGTATATCAGGCTTTAGTATCAGTAAGAGTTCAGTAAGCATACCTCTTCGCGCGGAATATACTTCAACTTCACAGAGTGTAAGTGGATGAGTACCTTCCAACGTACTTCTTATAGTTACATATCTTCCGGGTAAACTGGGGCGACAGAAGAAGGATGCGCCTTTCCCTTGGGGAACACTATAGTTACTGCGACCACATGTAGGATTATTCACACCTCCATTGACAGTACTTGTGCCTACAAATAAAGTCAATACTGATATGCTTAGATTTTTCTTTGTCGATATTTGGCTCAGAACGAGGTCTTATCATCCTTCGGTTGCACTACTGCTACTTTATCAACCTCGAAATCTTTCGTTTGTCCCAAGAATTTATTACAACACAGAGTGAAAGAAAAAAATAAAGGAATAAAGAAAACAAAAAACGAAACAAAAAATAAGAAAGTGATTTGTACATTATCGTTGAAGGTAAAAGTGTGGAGGGTATAATATAAGTAGTAGTACACTAACTAATCTCGTTTAAGAGTGACTGGGAAAAAATATCAGTTCTTAAGGAATTAGCTGCAGATGTCAAAGGTAAGAGAGCTACGTTTCACACAAGTTTTAAGGTAATTAAATAAGAAAAATAAGTAAATGGAAAAAGATATTTAAAAACCGTAGACGAGGAGGTCCCACTTTTTTGGTAAAATGGGGAAGATCTAGCCATCTTTACAGCCATTGTTATTCACGCCAGGAATTGTTAAATCATTTTTAGCAAATTAGGCTACCCTAATACGAGGTAACGAAAGAGAGCAAACTAATGCGATGTATGAAAGTTTCTGTTTATAGCAAAAACTTTTGATTTGTGTTCTTTCCACTCAGGAGCCATAAGTCGGAGCCATAAGGTGCCATAGTCGATTATTATCCTGAGGTAATGTCGGTTATAATCAGGCTTTCGAGCGTGGCAATTATCCAAAGGCGAGAGGGAGAGAGGGGAGCAAAAAGGAAGGACTGGGCTTCTCGTTCCCTAAATCATCTGTGACTTACCCACTCGTATTTCAAATGAGCTTAATCTCGCTCCACAGCAGTCACCTCTGTTGACTATGTACACTTCGGTTACAGACTCCACTCGTCCAAGGTCTACTCTCCACCAGGGGTTCGGAGTTCCATTCATTGTGTGGGAACACGTTAAATCCGCAGAGAAATCATTTGTACTACTGTCCCCATCTACCGCTCTGCCACTGGAGCCGACAGTGTACGTGCTCACCTGATCTGTTTGCTTACCATAAGCCAGGTTTCCTTCAATTAAGGAAAATAATGATAATCCTAATGAATTTCTCACTGTCACACTCTCTCAACAGCACCCTCAATAAGACGATCTCTTCCTCATAAGGAAGGTTTCTCTTGATCCCAAAGATATCAAACTTCATAACGTTCCTATCTCTATACAATAGATAAAACGGCTAGCTATGTAGAGCAGACCGGCCAAGGAAAAACTTCGCACGAAAAATCAAACATTTACACGTGGTTCAGACTTAATTGTAACCAACCAATCCTAACCCATTTAGAATTTCCTTTTGAATATCATTATGACGTCACGTTTCACGTGACCACATGGGTTCAACACTAATCAATTCAACGCCTCGAAAGAAAGTTTCCCAAAAGTATTTTAGCAACTTTTAAAATTGTAATGATAACCTAACTGAGGTTAAATTACGTCTGTGACGAAGGGCATCCACTGACTGAAGACAAAAGACAAATGAACGACAAGAAACGGTGAGGTCAACAATCACATTACTGAACACTATTAGTAGACGAAACATCAAATCTCCTGGAACCCCACGTACTCAAAAAAATACTATCAACGACTCACTAGACAACTGGCTTACTATCTTAGGGTGCTTTTCAAAAGTCAGAGCTGGCCCGCCGGATGAAAACGGGAATGGTCTGACCGACCAGTTCCGACAAATGAGAAGCGCTTTTGGAACTGAAAAATAAGAAATAACCACATCAAGGTCGGATTTTCCGTCGGAACTAATACATCACGTTTGCGTCAAACGGAAAACGCAAATTTGTATCACGTAACCAAGTTTCCCCCTTACTTGTCGTTTACTGTTCATTAATTCTACACATAAATTAGTAGTTTCACGCAATTTTTTAAACCATAAGAATTGTCTGGAGCTGTTTTTATCTGTTCATTTTTTTGTTTTGAGAAGTTTTCAAATTGAATCTGACATTTGCCGTTTGCCGTATACGTGAAGCTTAAACTCTCTATCCATAACGTTACCTCGTGAGTAAATTTCCACTTTGCACAGACTAAGACCCTGTTTATCTGTGGCGATGATACCGAGATATCTACCAGTATGAAGAGGATTGGTGTAACAAACAGCTGAAGATTTAAACTGAGCAAAACTGTACCGCCCAACACACGTAGGATTACTTGAGACAGAAGAATTCCTTCCTACCATATAAAACACAGAGCGTTAATCAATACGTCAGGCGCCGTTTAAATCTGGGCTTAAACGTGCTTGAAACCTACTGAGTTCCTTCTGACCATGAAAAATGCAAATCTTAGCAATAATAATAATAGATTATTTATATAGCACAATATGTCCTAACATCTGATGGCGATTTACAACATTAAAAATACCAAGATTAAAATTCAAAAAAATTACAAGTATAATTTCTCTTACGATTAAAATGTTTCTTTACAATATTTAAAAAACAACAACAACAAAAACAACCATTATGATAATAAAAAATGTATAAAGTACCGTTCACACTAGGGTTTACAACTGTTTGACACCTGCTGAGCTCATTCCGGCTATGTCAGATACAGAGCTTTAATACACCAGGAGCCATTCACACCAGGAGTTATTTAACGTGCTTGACTTTTATTGACAGACAACTACTGAGTCCCCTCAGACCTTGTAAAGAATAGATCTTTAAATATAAAAGAGCATTATAGAAGGGAGTTTTTGCTCACTTCTTCGCAGGAATCTCATTAATTTACGCTAGATACAATAAGACGCCGATGACGTCATTGACTTTACTTCATGAAAAAGGGGGATGATGTCATGAAGATAACGTCACGTGTTCATTTTAAGCGGGGAATCTGGACCTGATTAAGCGGCAGATATCGCGCCTTCACTCGTGACGTTTATCAAATCACTCACCTAGTGTTAGTATAAAGCTTTTACTTCTATGCCCCAAAGCCTGTGAACGCCTGTCAAATACGAGGACTTCTGAGACTGAAACATGATCTGACCCCAGATCAACACGCCACCAGCTGGAGTTATTAGCTGCAGTTTGAGAGCAGTTGTGATGCGAATACAACGTGTTCTCCGAAGTACTACAGCAAGCTAAGTGCGGGTATGCGTTTCTACCAGTCGCAAGGTTATCTGTGTCCAAAAGAAAAGAAAACTGTTAAGTGTTATTTAGAAAATTGACCATAATGTTCCAGTAATGACCTTGAACGAGGATGACGTCGACTTCAAACCGAAAGCGGATCTTCTCTTTCTTACCGTACTCTGGGCAGATGACGTCATACCATAGGAGCTAAAACAAGGTTTTCGTTTCGACAGGAAGAAGTTCCATCAAGCGAAACATCAAAGTTCACGGTTGCTATTTATGACGTCGCGTTCTCGTCGCCTAAGCCAAACTTGTTCACAGGTTTCTCGACCTTCTACTCGCCCCTTGGAAAACGAGTAGGAGAGAACCTTTGAAACGAGATTGCGTTTTACCATCGTTTTTCACATTTCAACATAACCAAGTACAAGGAAACAGAGATACGGTTTCACTTTAAAGTCAAAATTGATTTACCTGGCTTTTGCTTCACTCCGTACAACTCGATTCTCATACAAAACTTGTTATGACTTCTTTTTGCTACAAATCGCAGCCATCTCGTCAACAAGCCTTCATGGATAATGTTCGTTTTCTCTGTCTCTCTGTCGTCATTCCCCGAAAAGATCTAAAATCAATGTAAAGATAGAATAATAGCGTGATCGTTGAAATGAGACTTCTTTGACAGTGCTTTCTCATTGTACTATTTGTTTTTTAGCAGTTTACAAAATCTTTTTTCAAAATTTTTTGACTTAGACTTCAGTTTTTAGAATGAAAGAGTAAAAGATACTTCCCTGAAAAGTGAGCTGCCAACGGAAAATAATGGTATGCAGTTTACCTTAACTTTTCCAAACTCGTTGTAATTTGTCCAAAAAGTTCCATCGGTTGATATCTGTAGACTGTATGTCTTTACCCAATTGTCTATTAGGGAATCCCCCTGGGTAGACACGGCGCATATGATATGAAATGTTTGTAAATCAATTTCCAGGTAGGGATTACTATCACTCGTGGACGCACACCAAGATCCTTCTCTGTTTAATCGCCCGTTCTTGGCATGGGAGATCTGAGATGAGGCAGTTATCTTGTTGTCAGGTATGCTTCCACTCTCCATTCCAAGGTCCAAATCAAGACAGTCTCCTGTGGGAAATAAAAGTTAGCAGGCAACTTCCTCGTCTTTATGCACTTATAGAGGGCATGACGCGCGCGGAAAGGGCACGAAATTTATCCGATGACACAACGCGCCTCTCGTAAGATCAATGGTTGATCATTTATAAATTATATGATCATTTCAATAACAAGATCACTACTTGGTTGGTAAAACAAGACTACCCTCACGCTTTTTCGTAAACCACGAAATTATTTAACAGAGGTACACTCTCTAAAGTATAACATGACCCCTGAAGAACGAGACAAGAGTCAGAAAAGAAAAAAACTTCGATTTATTCTCCAAGATAGACAAGGTCGGTCCGACTTTTTCAAGTTTCAATCAAGTTCCTTTCTTCCCGTCTTTAGTTAGTACCCTCTGATAGCTCTTACGTAGAAGTATCACAACTTTTAGCAGAATAGGGATGTGGATAACACGTCAGTTGAATTGCCACGCACAGCTAAATCTTGTTGACACCAACACTTAAAATGTTAATAAATGCAACATGAGAGTAAGCTTGATATTGACTGATTTCAATTTTCTATTTAGCTCATCGTTGCATCGGGCCTGTATTTGCCTGTTTTCTCTCTCAATACCATAGATCTAATCTAAAATTTTAAACAAGGTAAGATTACTATTGTCATAACATTCGAAACGAGTTGGTTAAGGCTGGTAGAATTATGACTTGATTTTTCAAAACTGATTCGTGTTGAAATTGAAATAATACTCACGAAGAACCCCCCATCAAAAACCATGAACCAGTATTAAATAGAAATACGTCTTGATGAAAATAATGAACGCATTTATATAGTATTAGGTTGCATTATTGATCCAATATGAACATTAAGAATGTCTTTTGCATTTTCGAGTTGAGCAAAACCTAGTCACTTGTTCTTGTTGTTGTTATTTTTAACAGAGTTAGAGTTCTGTATTGTTTCTCTAAGTCGTCATTTCCGAAATCATCCCACAAAATTAATAGTACGATATCGTTCAACGAACAGAACCGAAGCTTCGAAAATGATTTGAAATTAGGTTTAAGCCGAGCAAGAGTAAGAGAACAACCAACTTTGTACATCTTTTATGCATCTGATATGACCGTACCAATCCACTCAACCGAGAAAATTACTCGACAAAGAACAAGGAAGTATGAATACTAAATCTGCAAATCAAAACTAAATCGCTGTTACACATAAGCATCTAAAGACAGCTCAAAGGGAAAAGACCCAATTTCTCGGAGATACATGAGAATTTAGTGGAACCTTGGTAATAAACTACTGCGAATCAATTTTTCAAGCTGTACCTCTTATACTTTTTTGTATGTCTCTTGAATACGGGGTTGAATATGAATACCCACAAACACCGATCGGCATTTATCATACAACAACAACAAGAAACGAACGACGTTTAGGCTATTTACTAAGCAAACACCAAACTCTGGACACTCACCTGCGACCATACGAATTAAACAAATGAAAAATCCTACTCGATGAAGCATTTCTGTGGCAGCAAGAATGGCCGGCTGGTCACGGTGTCCTGATTCTCGAATTCTGAACAGTTAGAATATCCGGCCTGAAAAGCCAGTACGAACATCACGGTTTTCATCATATTGCCCAGGGCGGATAAAGTTTATCCGCCCTGATATTCACCATTCCTTACCGCACCTGCAATATAGCGGATGTCTGTAAAGCCTATTCTCGGAGACCCACCAGGAACAGTCAGTCGGGTAGGAAGAAAAGGCGCGACGAAAGTTTCAAACACGAGCTGATTGGACACAAAAATGCTTTGTATTAATTTGCCCAATCGGCGAACAGCATCCGCTGAGTTCTTTTCGTGTGTTCGTACACGACTGCTCTGTCTCGTCGTACTATATTGAACTTGTCCAGTTCGTTCCGCAAGGTTGTGCATGCAAGGAAAACTTTCATTTTCTACTTTACTAACCAGAAACGATAGTATAACATCTTTGTCGCACCATAGTACAATGGTACAGACAGGTACCGAGGTCAAATGTTGCAAAACTTTCTAGCACGTTTGTAACATTCGTTCTCTATGGCTAGATTCAATAAATGCTTCTATCATGTCTCGTTGTACGCAGCGTGTCCCTGCAACGCTATTACAAGCCATCGTCCATTAGCTTAGCTTTAGACGTATGTCTAGCTATACAAAAGTTGTTTTTGGCAACAACCACGGTACAATCAAACACAAAACAGTGCACACTACAACAGTGTCTATAGTAACAATCAAACAAAGCACAGTGTAGGCTACAAAAGTGTCTATAATAACAATCAAACACAGAACAGTGCGCCCTACAACAGAGTCTATCATAACAACCAAACACAGAACAGTGCGCGCTACAAGAGTGTCTATCATAACAATCAAACATAGAACAGTGCGCGCTACAACAGAGTCTATCATAACAATCAAACATAGAACAGTGCGCGCTACAACAGTGTCTATCATAACAATCAAACACAGAACAGTGTGCGCTACAACAGTGTCTATCGCAACAATCAAACACAGAACAGTGCGCGCTACAACAGTGTCTATCATAACAATCAAACACAGAACAGAGTGCGCTACAACAGTGTCTATCGTAACAATCAAACACAGAACAGTATGCGCTACAACAGTGTCTATCGTAACAATCAAATACAGAACAGTATGCGCTACAACAGTGTCTATCATAACAATCAAACACAGAACAGTATGCGCTACAACAGTGTCTATCATAACAATCAAACACAGAACAGTGTGCGCTACAACGGTGTCTATCATAACAATCAAACACGGAACAGTGTGCGCTACAACAGTGTCTATGGTAACAATCAAACACAGAACAGCGTGCGCTACAACAGTGTCTATCGTAACAATCAAACATAGAACAGTGCGCGCTACAACAGTGTCTATCGTAACAATCAAATACAGAACAGTATGCGCTACAACAGTGTCTATCATAACAATCAAACACAGAACAGTATGCGCTACAACAGTGTCTATCGTAACAATCAAACATAGACCAGTGCGCGCCACAACAGTGTCTATCGTAACAATCAAATACAGAACAGTGTGCACTACAACAGTGTCTATCATAACAATCAAATTCAGAACAGTGTGCGCTACAACATTGTCTATCACAACAATCAAATACAGAACACAGTGCGCTACAACAGTGTCTATCGTAACAATCAAATACAGTACAGTGTGCGCTATAACATTGTCTATCATAACAATCAAATACAGTACAGTTTGCGCTACAACATTGTCTATCATAATAATCAAATACAAAACAGTTTGCGCTACAACAGTGTCTATCATAACAATCAAACACAGAACAGTTAGTCAAGCCATATGGTGAAAAAATTTGTGCTCAGGGGGGTTGGGTGGTTGCAGTTACCAATTTAACTGCCGTTATTGAAAAGAAAGCTGTTATATCAATAGGGAATGGTGTCCTAGGGAAGTTTAATAAGGTCTATTTAATCCAACTTTCTAGGTGTCTATGCGACAAGGAGATAAGTAAAACTCTTCCAGAGCGAGTGCGAATTTATCTTAACAGCAGATTTAAACTCACGTTTCTGTCAAGATTAGTAGAAGCTCCTCGGTCTTCTGAGTTCCTTTCGTGTCATTGTATTCCAACTCAACTCTCTCTCCAACGCGTAATTCTTTTGGGACATATTTAAGGGAAGTGTTCCCGCAGAATCCTTTGTGGTGCATTGCATCGCTTTTCCATGCCCAGTAGCCCATTGTCGCATTACGCTTTGGTCACGTTTCGCACCCAGGGTATCATCTTTGCTAGGCAACTCTCTTGGTGTGCTGATATAGTGGAGAAGTTCTCGAGCTTTCTTCCCTTTTGTGCAAATAGCCGGAACTTTTTTGGCATCATTGACTCTTTGACTCCGGTTTGTGTGGTCAGACACTAGGATAACAAATCTCTCAAGCACCGGGGCATAGTGTCTTGAACACCCTTCAAAGTTTCCTAAGGGATGTAAAAAGTTCAGTGGCTTCTCCATAAGGCAGCCTTGCGGCCCAGGCGGTTTTCTCGTCCTAAGAAAGGGGTTGTCTGATTGCATTTTGTGATTGCGTAATAAAAGTACAACATCCTATAACGCTTTTCATCACTCGAGAGCCCTTATGATTGCTGTGCCATGTAAAGAACCAGTTGCAGGAGGAAGAACTGGGGTTATGGTGGATTTTATCGACACCAGGAGACTTACATAATTTGAAGTGAATTCTCACGATGAATCTTCGCGACGTCGAATCACAAAGTTTAAAAAGCTATAAACAGCCGCTCGATTCTGTATGATTTTGCTTGACTGTGTCTCAATACTAGCTCCATCGGTCCAAGATGATCTCAATTATACTTTTTTAAAACTGAGAGATGTGAGGCTTGTTCACTATCAGTGTTTCTTTCTGTGGCGTTCTTCTAAACAATTGCATGGTATTCACTTAAGGCTAGAAAGACTTCGAGAATATCTCTATATGGCGTTAAATCCACACATTGCTGTTATCAAATGTGTCAAAGATTTGTGTTGTGAACTTGCTGTGAAACATCACAGCAAATATAGCACTGCTCGAGTCTCAGCAGACATCACAGGAAAAAATAACGGATTCCCATTTTTGGGTATTTAAAGAATACCCACAAAAATCCCAAATTTGGAAGAGTGAGACAAGTCCCAATCTGGGAACTTGGTTGGGAATTCCCTGGTTGGGACTTGTGTCACTTTGCCAAATTTGGGATTTTTATGGGTATCCTTTAAATACCCAAAAATATCCAAAAATGGGAATCCGTTATTTTTTCCTGTGCATCTGCTGTCATATAACTGTTATCAGACGTCTGATTTTGTATGTTATGTTATATAACTGTTATCAGACGTCTGATGTTATATGTTATGTAATATAACTGTCATCAGACGTCTGATAACAGTTATATGATGTCAGACGTCTGATGACAGTTATATGACATCAGCCGTCTGATGTCCCATAACTGTTATCAGACGTTATGTAACATAACATATAAAATCAGACATCAGACGTGTGATGACAGTTACATGACAGCAGATGTCTGCTGTCATATAACTGTTATAAAATCAGACGTCTGATAACAGTTATATGGCAGCAGATATCTGCTGTCATATATGACATATATAACAGTTATATAACTGTGTTATATTACGGTTATATAACAGTTATAAAACTGACTGTTATATGACTGTTATATAACAGTCATATGACATGACGTTATATAACTGTTATTTATAACTGTTATATGACTGTGTTATATAACAGTTATAAATAACAGTCATATAACTGTTATATAACAGTTATATAAAAGTTATATATATATCAGTCATATAACTGTTATGTAACACTATGACTGTTATTTACAACTGTTATATAACAGTCATATAACAGTTATATTACAGTTATATAACTGTGTTATATAACAGTTATATATAACAGTCATATAACTGTGTTATATAACAGTTATATATAACAGTCATATAACTGTGTTATATAACAGTTATATAACTGTAATATAACTGTTATATGACTGTTATATAACAGTTATAAATAACAGTCATATAACAGTTATATGACTGTTATTTATAATTGTTATATAACACAGTTATATAACAGTCATATAGCTGTTATATAACAGTTATATAACTGTGTTATATAACAGTAACTGTTATATATAACTGTTATATAACAGTTATATATAACAGTTATATATAACTGTTATATAACAGTTATATATAACAGTTATATAACATATATGACAGCAGACATCTGCTGTCATATAACTGTTATCAGACGCCTGACATCATATAACTGTTATCAGAAGTCTGCTGTCATATAGCTGTTATCAGACTGTTCTCGACAGTTATGCAAACCCTCGACTTCGTCTCGGGTTTGCATAACTGTCTCGAATTCTCCCAACGCCTCGAGTGTTTATATCAGGCTATGCAAACACAGGAAAAAAGTTTTCTATTGCTTTTATAAAATAACTTTCCCGAGAAAAAACGCAAAACTCTTTGTTATGGCACTGATTAAAAGAGAAATTCTTACCAGTCGCAAAGCCTTGTCCACGAAGTCTTGCGCGCGTAATCAGTTTGTTTTTGCTAAAAGATGCTTTCCAAAATACGGATTTTTCTAACTTAAAATGTCAGCTTAGGCGAAGAAAACTTGACACACCTCCTTTGTAACGATTTTTCAAGTTTCAGCCGACGAAGGAATGGCCAAAAAAAGTAAACTTGTGGAGTTTTGAACTCGAAAACTTTTTCAAATTCGTGCTTGCGTGATTAGCGCGCGAAAAGCAAAACATCTTGACGCCACAACCATGTTTACATACTCTGATGCAAACACTCCTCTCGGCCAATCAGAGCGCGCGTACTATCTTAGTTATTTTATAATATGTTATATAACTGTGATCAGACGTCTGATGTTAGATATCCTTTTCTCCTCAACTCGGCACTTTTATTTTTGACAATTGTAAAGATGACAATAGAGTGTGAGAGAGATCAATATATTATTGAAAACAAGAGAAAACCAAAGGTTACGGAGTGAGGGCGACAACGATGGAAGATGAAAACGCTGTTACTCCAACGCTGTGCTTCGCACAAGTTTCACTTGATAGATGTTCTAAACATGCGTCATCAGATTCTAAGTGACCAGAAAAAATCCAGATGCGAGTGATCAAATTGCTTTCTGTGAATTCCATTCATCCTTATGAGTGGAAGTCCAAACGAATGCCGGCTACATACCTGCGATGCATGCATAATAATAACCTGAAGATGAAAACTGTGGGCTACTCTTGTCGCCCGCAATAAAAGTGGTTAATAACTTCCCGTTGCATGTCATTGAAGGTCTCTGTAAGTGTCTCATGTTTTATTTTTGCGGTAGTTTGGCTGAGCAATTAAATTCCCAAAAAGTGCAATTCACTTCAATCAAAGTGTAAAAATGAAACATCTGAAACAATCAATCACAGAACAGAGTGCGCTACAATAGTGTCTATCGTAATAATCAAACCCAGAACAGTGCGCACTACAACAGTGTGCGCTATGAGAAGGTCTGCCGTAATAATGAGGCAGAGAACAGTGCTATGGGGAGGCCTACTGTAAGAATCAAACAAAAAGACCGTGCCCTCGATGACAGAGTTTGTCGTAACAATCAAATACAGAAATGTTCGCTCTTCGACAGTGTCTATTGTGACAATCAAGTACAGGACAGTGTCCGCTATGAAAAGGTCTATCTTAAGAATCAAACAGAAAATTGCGCGCCTTGAGAAGGTTTGTTATAATAATGAGGCAGAGACTGTGTTAGGTAATTTTACTGCGGTTTTCTTTGTCCAACGACTAGTCTTGCATACTTAACAATTACTTCATGTCACTAGGGATAAACGTGGTAAGCAATGTCAAATCTAAACTCTGTAACTTGTTAACTAAACCTAGGCTTTGGCTTGGACGGGTAGAAACCCCAATAAAAGCCACGAGATTGAGAGTGCACTCTCCTGCGTCGACTGTAAAAAGCAGTTAGCAATTCCTTTGATCTTGACGGCCACTTGAATATCTAAGTAAACCTAGGCTTTTAGATCCATTTTCTCGCTCAATGAAATTTAGCCAATTTCCAAATGACATTTCATGCCAATTAAACAGCAAGCTGCAGATTACTAAAAGTCATAAAGACAATAATGCAAATACTTTCAACTTATTTGTTCCCCTTCAGCTGTTCATGATGTTAGACTTAAAAGGAAGCGGTGCAGCATAATAAATTCGAACTGCAAAGAGCAAAATGTTAACACAGAACTATACCGGAGATGAAAAGCAGAAAACATTTCACGAATTCGATTGTCCGGACGAATTCACAGGAGAGGACTACAAGTATCTCATACTTCTCGCAGCGCTGAACATTTTTCTGTCTTTTACTGCATTTCTTGGGAACACTCTTATTCTAGTTGCTCTTTGCAAGGAATCTTCGCTTCATCCGCCATCCAAACTCCTGTATCGTAACCTGGCGATAACCGATTTTTGTGTTGGTGTCATCGTGGAGCCTGTGTCTGTTATATATTGGACGTCTCTGGTGATGGAACGGTGGAGTCTTTGTCGAATCATCTTGGCCAAATTTGTTACAACTAGTAATACTTTGTGTACAGTCTCTCTATTAACAGTAGCTTCGATAAGCGTGGACAGACTTCTTGCCCTATCTCTGGGACTCAGATATAGACAAGTTGTAACTTTAAAGAGAACATATGTGGCTGTATTCGCATTTTGGGTTGTGTCTATAGTCGGGGCAATGATGTATTTTGTTAATCCTCGCATAATTTTCTGGTATATCAATATCATTGGAGTACTCTGCCTAACTACCTCAGTTTTCTCTTACACAAAAATTTTCTTAATTCTGCGTCATAACCATATTCATGCACTGGGTCACCTTTTTCAAGGACAGCCAAGTCAAGCAATTTCAATGAGCATTACTCGGCACAGAAAGGCAGTGTCTAGTGCACTCTGGGTACAGATAGCGTTAGCTGTTTGTTATCTACCGTATTGTATCATTGTATTCTCAACGCCCCAAGGTGGTTTTCCATTGTCTTTTTACCTTGCTAGGCAATATGCCTATACTTTAATTTACGTCAATTCGTCATTAAACCCGTTACTGTACTGCTGGAAGATCAGAGAAATCAGAGAAGCAGTCAAGGATGCATTAAGACAGTAATTCAAACCGCTCTTGCTCGCTGTTTGTCGAATTAAACAGATTTTAAACCCTCTACCTGATCTCCTCAGTTTTTTATTAAATGACCATGCCATCAAAGCATTTTTCATGTTTACTGGTGCTATAACTCAGCATCTTTTATTCTCAACTTTATTTTAAACAGTTTTTCAGTACTCAGTTCTTTTGGCATATAAAGAGTAATGCTTGAATAAAAGCAACTACATATATACGCCTTTACTTTAGTTCTTACACATTGCGTCAGTTTTTCCTGCCATACAATGAAAACACATGGAGACGGGTCGGAGACGAGAGCATGAATAATGTCGAGTAAGTTGGCAAAGGTTCTACACTGGCTATAGGTTTCAGTTAGGTTTATTGGTTGGTGAAAGTTTTGTTTATACTTTCAGGCGTTCACAAAAAAATAACCAATTTCACAAAAAGTTTAACAATGTAACAAAATTTGAAAAGGAACCCCCTACGAAGAGGAGATATAAGACTTCCTCTCTCACTACTTCCATTTCCGTTCAAATGAAAGCTGAAAGAATGCCCCTACCTAATAACCTATAACCGACCTTGATTTTTTGCATGAATAAGTGTAACAAAATTACCTGCTATTTAATGAGACAGCTGCAACTACCGGCTTCTTTCTTCTTTTCACGTAAGTCAAAACAATTCTTGTACTTTTATTAGGCTGCGACTCTTACTTTGTGTTTCTCTAAAAGTCGGTTTTATTTATTTAAATATGGTTAATTATAGTTAGCCCTAGTTGTTCAGTGGGAGGATAATTTTATTCATTGCATTAATAACTATCCAACTGATAGCGCAATTAATTCCGCTAACACCTATCCACTAGATTCAGTATTAACAGTGAATATCGAGCAAAGACCGGGGGATCAGTTGTCTGTAATCCAGTGATTTTGTTGCAAATAGTTATGGTGAGTCCTAGGACTCATCTTGTGAAAAATCACCAGTCCCAGTTAAACAAACCGAGTTCAAAATTAAAAATGCTTGTGCCTTTATGTAACTAGACAGTTAATCAGAAGAGAGACGCCAAACCTCTGTATTACAGTATACTGAAATTAAAATATAGTCTTTCCATTTTAAAGCACAACAACGGCTAAAAGAAATATGCATAGTTAAATATTAACTGCCACAGAAATGACACGAACGAGATATTTGTACAAGTACACATGTTCAGATCGATCGATCTTTGTGTCTTACGGGACGCATGTCATAAATTATTCTGCGTCTTTGGATGCGTGAGGAACGCAGGAGGCAGAAGTGACAAAATCACTGGACCTATCATACTCGTCACTTAACAAACCGGACTCCCGCCGAGCCTGTCGCCTGATATTGTTCAATCACTTATATCACAGGTAACCCAGGCTTGAGAAATAAACGTCGACATTGTAACCTTCGAAATATCAGGATTTGAAAGGGGGGAAACGATCGTTTCTGTAACCTACGAATAAGAAAGGATTTTCAATAAAAATCGGTTTAACTCATTTAAGTTGTATCTTCCTTCTTTTCTGTGTGGACGTCCTGAGCAAGTTTATGGCCATTTTATCGGTTTACGGGTTTGTTCTTTCTATAAGAAGGGATTTCTTTTTCTCCATGCAAATCCTTTTTGTCAGTCTAACAAAGACATTTTTATATTATCAATCATGAGATCCTATCAACCGAATTAGAGTCATGAAGTGGGTTCAGGGATGCCAGCCTCAACCTTTCTAGAAACAATCAATCTAATAGAACACAGGTTACACTGATAGGCAATAAAACTTCAGAAACATGTTATATTTGTTGTGGGGTTCCTCAGGATTCCGTACTTGGAACACTTTTATTCCTATCATAAATCAATGACTTGCCTATTATTGTAAGCTAATATTAGATGTGAGAATGTATTACAGATGATACTAATCTCACTTTTTCGTCTTAACACCCTGAATACTGTTTTCATCCCTCACTAATAAACTTTACAATTTGAAACCATTGCTTGATTCAAATTATTGAATGAAGAGTAATGTCTGTTTATAGGGACGTGGCATAAAATCTCTCTACTAACCAGGGGCATTGTATAAAATGGGTGGAGTAATCCTCTGCAGTTTTATTTTCATATGCATGCTAGACGATCTTAGTAAAGAGAAAAAACGGTCTCATCCTCGGAGACCCAGGGCCGGACAGTTGGGCCGGGAGAAAAGGCGCGACGAAAGTTTTCAAGCAGGGGCGGAAGAGCCCCTGGGTACCGACTCTCACCGGACCATTTCCAAACGGTCAAGCGAATGCTGTCTCCTAGCTGGGCACAAAAGAGGCTTTGTATTATTGTGCCCAATCAGCTAACAGCAATTCCTGAGTTCTTTTCGTGAGCTGGAGAGCACATATCTATCCGCAATTTATGGGAGGTTAACCCCCCCCCCCACCCCCCCACACACCCCGCCCTCGTCTCCCCCCCCACCTCGTCCGATTAAACAATGAGTTGAAATTATAACATTCATTAATGACAACATAACAGACTAAAAAATAAACAAGCAAAAAAATACGAGAGTAAACGTGAACAGCAGCTAGCAAGGGAAGTATCCCCCCCCCCCCCCCCACCTCCCGGATCCAAGGCTCTGTTACAATCTCAGCAGCTCGAAAACACAAAATTTCCCATTTGAAACTTCATATTTCAGATAACTATAGGTTAGGAAAAGCAGTAAATGACAAATCCCAGCGTGACTTCCCTGTGGTTGCCGTCTTAGTCTTCATTTAGAATCTCTAGAATTCTCCCACCCTTTTGGTTCAAACCTTAAAACAATTCATGAACTTTCCATTCCCCCAAGAAAGAGAATCCAATCCCCCTCCTTGTATTCCCTGACACATTCCGCTGGTTGTCCTGGTACCCTACCCGAGAAGCAAGCCGATAACATGCTCGTTCAGGTATTTTTTCCAAGTCACATTCCACAGGTCAGAATACGGGTCACCATGCTACTTATAATTGAACTAGCCCTGATCCTTATCATAAATGTTGTTTTTGATCGAGGGGAAATTACTTAGTTTTCATAACTGTCAACAAAAGAGTGACCTGTAATCGTGACCTGAGGAATGTGACCTGTAAAAGAAACCTCTCCTGTGCACTAAACTGAACAAAACCGAACTTCACCCACCTCTCAATAATTCCTTCCTTTCTTCACATTAGCTTTTTTTTCTCCCTGCTTGCAAATGCGCGCGCCATTGAAAGGTTTTTCATACAGTGAATCATAGTTAATTAAAGTGGAGTGGTTGGGAAACCCTTTGTTATAGGTTTTCGTTCGCTTTTTTGGACCTGACTGTGCACAATGTTCAATAGCATTCCTATCATTTTGAAGTTATTGACCAATAGAAACATTGCATTAATTTATTCAGTCATAATTTGTGAACAGAAAAGAAAAAATTGTGCACGGTCAGGGAGCTTCCATCATAACCTACAGCACCATTGTTTTCAACTTTGATGTTTGCCGGGTTTCCTAACCAGTCTCCTCTACTAAGTATGACTTAATTTGAGCATGAGTTTGGGATAGAGTTTGGGCTACCTGTGTTGCATAGAAAAATACAACAGAATTTGATGTAGATGTAAATTGTTTGCACTAATATTATTTGCAAAAACATCAAGTCAACCAAGAAACAGTCAAAATGCAAACCTTGAAAGATCTCAAGCAACTGCACAACTTGGATGATATGCCATGATTAGCTCAGCTCAGACGCCGTGCTTTTCTTGAAAATTGTTCACTGAAGACGAGGCATTGTACCTTCGAGACATTTATGAGATAATCTACGGAACTTATCAATAGATGAGGACTTTGATAAAGGATTGCAAGCATAGAAATGCCCTGAAAATCGTGTGCGAAATTTTAAACAAGAAACTCGAAAATATCAGTTGTAGTGCAAATGAAGTAAGACACCTCCTTCTGAAACTCAAGCCTAACAATTCCCCTGGGCCTAACGATATCGCCCCTTGCATTTTGAGAGAATGTGCATGGGAACCAGCACCTTCACTGGCGCATATATTAAACAAATCATTCTCCTCTGGTTTATTACCTAATGAATGGAAATGTGCTGAAAAAGGGCTCTTAATCTCTCCGAGAAAATTACCGCCCAATCTCTGTTACTTCTATACCGCACCCGTTTAATGCCCTTACCTCGTCAAAGACATCCGCGCCTTGTAGAGTATACAGAGAAGGGCATAGAGGGTTAGCACTTAATCAACACAAAGGAGAAATGCCTTATGTTGATTGTTGTAAATTGTTGAAATGGCCGTCGCTATCTGACCGTAGAAATTATTTATCTTTAATTGAGTGCTATAAGTTCGTCTTTGGATACTATCATTTGAATTTTTATAATTCTACGAATTCTCAAAAGTTCAGTCAACAAGAGCGAGTCACCCCTTCAAATTTTATGTTAAAATCGCAAGGCTCGATTGCTACAAATGTTCTTTTTTTACTAGAATAGTTTCAAAACGGACTGATTTACCAAGAGTCGACACAGAAGAAGCTGAAAGCCCTCATCATTTTAGACATAAGCTTCATCGTTACCTATTTAATAGATTTTAAACTACAACCGTGCTTTAATGAAGGCCTTGATTTTTGAATACATGTATTGTATTTGATTTTTTATTTAGCATTTTCTATTTCTGCTTGGGAGTTCTAATATAGAGCTAACCTCTCAACTCCCTTTTCAAGATGTCTTTTAATATTATGTTTTCCTGCAAATAAGCTTGTTTACATCATGAATAAAGTTAGAATGTTATGTTATGTTAAACAGATGACAAGTAAAGATGGCAAGCATCCCACCAAAAACCGCGAAACCGACCCTCGTTCTTCTCTAGTCCCTAAACTTCACTCGGCTGTGCATGAGAGAATAACAGAAGGGTGTAAAAGAAAATTTAAATGAAAAAACGAAAACGAAATACCAAAAGTAAGCTTCATACCCGAAATTATTTCTTATTCATATTGCAAGATAAACGGTTTAATAACGGTGGGCAGCTAAATTTCTCTTGTTTCAATGACCTTTTTCAGTACACTATAGGCTTTTGAACGCGCAAAAAGCAAGAAACGATAAAAAAAAAGCGCAAGGCCGAAGTTGTGAATTCTCAAGTCTTCATTATAAATTTTCCTCGAGCAGATTCGTTTCCTTTGCCAACCGCCCTTTTTTTTATTCGCGCACTTTGGAATAACTATTTGCAAAAGTATTTTTCACAAGAGTCGAGATAAACATACCAGAAGAAGTCAATCTATAAACATTGGTAACAAAGCAAATCGAACTTTATTTACAACACGTTCAATATTTACAGTAGATCATGACTAAAGGTGAGGTTCACAGACTTTAGAATTAAATGACTGACAAATTGGGACGGACTCCTGTACCTTTGATCATGCGTCTGTGAAATCACCCATGAGAACGAAACGGAAAAAATAACTACGATAAATATCACTCGAAAAAGTAACTATAAAACAAAGAAAGCCTGAAAAACACTCTGATTATAAACTATGAAGTTGCGATATTGAATCTTAAGACAAGTACGGAAATAATAGTCATTAATAATTCACTCAACAATCAGCTCTCGAGCTCCTTTTTTCGCAAGACTTGCGAACAGTCACATATAACAAATGAAATGCTGATCAGTAGGGCCGAGGGCTTCTTTTACCAGCGTCTCAGTATTCTTGACTTTGGCTCGAGTTTCCCATCTTTGAACCTCCAGATTTGGAGGCTGTCTTCTTAGGAAGTAGCACAGCTTGAATATTTGGCAGAACGCCGCCATCTGCTATGGTCACGTGGGACAAAAGCTGATTAAGCTCCTCATCGTTTCGCACAGCTAGTTGCAAATGTCGCGGAATGATACGGGATTTCTTGTTGTCGCGAGCTGCGTTTCCAGCCAGTTCTAGGACTTCCGCGGAGAGGTATTCCAGCACTGCTGCGAGGTACACGGGCGCTCCATTACCAACACGCTGGGCGTACTGTCCTGCAGTAGAAGAAATAGTCAACTATTTTCAATTGGAATGTCTCCTTTTAAAAACTGAGAACACATGCTAAGATAAAGCCGAGAGGAAGGTATTATTTTGAAAGAAGCTCTTCTACTGAGAGAATTTGACCGACAAAACGTATTTGCAAAATTGTACTCAAAGAGGAAAATGCTACGGGGGAAGACATTCAACAGTGTGGGAGAAGGGAACAGTTCTTTTGTAATAAAATGAATTTGTGATATATTATAATTCACACGTCTACAACAAGCGCTCATGGGGACGTTACAAGACCTTTTATAACAGTAATTCAGAGCAAACCTTTTCGAAGAAAGCGGTGTATGCGCCCAACAGGAAACTGCAAACCGGCTCGCACAGACCTGCTTTTGCTTGTGCTCTTTCCACTCTTAGCTGCTTTTCCTCGACCAGACATTATGCAAAAATTTCGTTCTTCTTCGTTCGCTAAACTGAGAGGTGTTGCTAGATGTTGTTGGAGAGCGTATGCAAATACCAAAAGAGTGCAGCGGTTTATATAGCTACAGCATGATGAGTACGTGTGCACGTGACTCAGAAATCACGTGAATGCCAGTTTAACATCATCTGATTGGTCCAACTTCTTGAGGTTGAAAAACGTGTACATTTCGCTAAAAGTATGCGCAAATTAGGAAAAATTAGGAAAATGATACCATCATTCTTATTGAAAATCAATGAAACAAAGCCAACTGTAATTATAAATTGTACATTTTGAATATTTTTGGTGTTTATTGGGCGCTTTCAAACAATGCTCGTCTAACTACAAATCGCGAACAATAACCCTAATATAAAGATTTAGCCAAGGCTAAAAACGAAGCTCTCGATAATATTTAAAGTTTCTTCAAACAAAATATAAAATAATCCTAAGCGGCGAAGGCAACGCCGGAGAACGGTGAAAAACAAAAATAGGTCTAATTAGCAAAAAAACAACTTTGCACGTGCAGCACACTCTCTGTACATGTCTTTACCGTTGTTTTGCACGACTACAATGTGAAACTTCCAGAAACTTCTTAGTTACACGTTTTTTTGGAGGAAACGTCGTACGTGTTCTCGTTCAGTTTCTTTTTTTTTCACTGCCGCTCATTTTCACCTAGCATTGGTGGCCGCTAGCATTTCTGATTTTGTAACCGCCGCTACTAAATTTTCATGTTGTTCTTCCAACAAAAATATGTCACCTTTGTTTTTTTATCTCTCATTCTAGATCTCTGTCGCCCTTTTTCTCGTTGAGCTCCGCTGGCCTGCCTCCTACTTTCTGTTTTTCTATGTCTTTCTTTTGCTCTATATTCCAAATTTGTGGACATGACAATTAATCTAAGCTTTAGACAACACGGATACAGAAACCATTTCCGCTTCCCGTTTTCGTATTTATTGACTCTTTAGTTGTCTCTGCTTCACAAGTCGCGGGTGGCTATGCGATTTCCCGCCAAAATAACCTCGAGTTGCACTTGGGTTGCCATACCGGTTGATTGAGTTATTTTACATTGGTATGCCTGTGGTGCGGACGGACAGTCCTTTGTTCGGACGGTCGGTGTGCGGTCACGTGATTACCGAATTTTCTGGGATGGGTAGATTCACTTACACATAGTGCTCCGCTGGCGTGCGCTTAGCGAGCGAGAGAGCTCCGCTATAAAAGGACCTTTGGAATAGCGAGTCGTGGAGGACACAATTAAAGAAAATGGACAATGACATGTTTATTCGATTTCTCTGTTTGCCTCCTCCAAGACTCGCTAACGAGAGGATGAGCTGATTTTTAACATGTGCCTGTTGATGCTACCAAAAACTGATTGATCCGGTTTAACTAATCGGGCAGTACGATCATGGTTATATTAATTCTTGACATTCTTCTAGGAATAAAGACCGTTTGGAATGGAGTGAAAAGGTAAGAGGCTTCTGAAAAGCGACTTCTTCCCTTCGTAATTCCCATCCAGCTTCGACCTCAAACAAATCTTAATCGTCATGAAAAATAATGTCATCCGTGATGAATGTCAAACCCAGTCATGGTTTCAAAGTGTATTGTGGGACTGTTTTGGGGGGACGAATTTCCAACATGGAGGCAAATTTGTACCCCAAAACAGTCCCAGGGTGGGGTTCATTCTTGGCCTACTGGGGCTCATGTGCCAAGCCATACATTCTGAAATATAAGGAATTTATACAACACCGTACTAGTGTAGTTATCTAGTCTCTTTATTTCGCTGTTTTTTTGTACAAATTTTTTTTCGTTATCTTGCAAAGTAGGAAAAATCCCTGATCTCTAGCTCTGTCACATCGTCTCAGTATTCTTGACTAGAATGTGCCATTTTCGAGCTTCCTGACTTGGATCCAGTTTTCTTAGGAAGTAGCACGGCTTGAATGTTGGGCAGTACACCACCTTCTGCGAAGGTCACGTGAGATAAAAGTTGATTAAGCTCTTCGTCGTTTCGCACAGCTAACTGTAAATGGCGCGGGATGATACGGGATTTCTTGTTGTCCCGAGCAGCGTTTCCCGCCAGTTCTAGCACCTCGGCTGTTAGGTATTCCAACACTGCTGCCAGGTATACTGGGGCACCATTGCCAACACGGTCGGAATAATTTCCTTTAAAGAAATTTTAAGAAAGCGCTTTAGACAACTGAAAAGCAGAGAGCATTTTTATGTAACATATCCAGCATGAGATGCAGTGTTTCATCACCAGATGAAACACTGAAGAGAGTTGAAAATACGACGCACCGTGGAGTATTTTTGACGAACTTCCAGGTGTTTCATCTGGTGCTGAAACACTGTGTCGAATGCTTGATATTACTTCTCAAACAAAACGGTTTTAGAGGAGAAATTAAGGAAGAAAAGATGAGCAGTTTTTCATCTGATTTCCAAACACTCATCAAACATTAATTTCCTTTGTATTTTCTATATGAATTATTAATGAGTTTGAGAAGAGCATGTAATAAACTCATGGGTTCAAAATACTTGGATGAAATTAACCTTGCAGTGATTTTTCGTGGCTCAGCGTGATTCTTACCCCTAATTAGAGAAGAAAACCTTCTGACAAATAGGTTAATCCCAACAGTGAGTTTTATATGAACATCACCCAAAAGAATTGATTCGACAGTATCACAGTATTGCGGTACACTTCAAAGTCATGGAAGTTTTAACAGTCGTATAACATGTCATAGTCTTAACCTCGATTTACGTTTCACCAGGGTCTTTATTCACAAAAGCACATCTGAAAGTAGCTCAATTCAAACAAATGTTCTGATTATGTACGTCGAAATCAATCTTAGCTACAACAAACGACCACATGGTAATGAGAAATATAAAACTTCAACCAATTCGTTACAAACCCTTTCTAAGAAGGCGGTGGATACGTCCAACAGGAAACTGCAAACCGGCTCGCATAGACCTGCTTCTGCTTGTGCTCTTTCCGCCCGTAGCTGATTTTCCGCGTCCAGACATTTTGCAAGACTTCCTTCAGGTACTTTCATCGGAGTTTATACAAATAGTCAGCGTGTAACGAAGTATATGAACAGTCCACGTTTTAGGCTTTAGAGACAAACCTGCAAATTTTTCACGACTCCATTGTCTCGCAATTCCCAGAAGAGACTTAAACACAAAGAAAACCAAACCAAATATAGAAAAATGACCAGAAAGCCTCGGAGTCGTGTTAGAATTTTAATATATCGAACTTGGGCTATTCTTAAACAATCACGTGCGCACGTGCTATAATTCACCATCAGCTGATTGGTTTAAGTTGATGACATCAACTCAACGAAAATTCCCTTCGTCTCGAGAAAGCTTCAGTACTCCAATGGCTTTTAAGTAAAAAGCATCAAAAGTCTGTATTTCTTGTGTCTTGTTTTCTTTATTTTATCTGACAGGAGACCCACCCCTCACAAAAAATGATAACAGAGAAGCCACGCATTACTGCGGTAGCTGAAGGATTATAATTATCGGTACGTACTCTATGTCCTCTTAACCCTCGTATCAGAGAAGTAAAAAGCATCAAAACTCTGTATTTGTTGTGTTTCGTTTTCTTTATTTTATCTGACAGGAGACCCGCCCCTCACAAAAAAAGATAACAGAGAAGCCACGCATTACGGCGGTAGCTGAAGGACTATAAGTGCCATTTTGGTTATCCAAGAAGGGTACATGGCAGTATAGAATTTGCTATCTTGCTTTAAGATCCTTGACAGGGATATTTAATAAACAGAGCCTTTTTAGCTTGCGCGGCTTTCACAGTAACGCCACACTATAAGAAACACAAAAAGAAAAAAATGTCGTAGAAACCAGGAAATTGTCGATAACGAAATCAGAGCGCAGTGGAGCTTGCAATTCACTTATATACAAGAAATTGTTTTTTTTTTTCTTTCCGCCACTCAAAACGATCCCTTAATTTCAATTTATCGATGACAGGAAAAGCATGGAATCGTAATAGGCTTTAAGGACTGGGCAAAGACAGAACTAAGATCCCAGGGACGAGGGACTTCTCCTAATTCCCCATTCCAGAACTATAAAGGGAATGGGAACTAGCTCTTGGTGCAATGATTTCTGGGATCGTTTGGGTGGACAGGCGTTATTTATGATTCGTTATTGGTTGTCTTGGATACCATTGACCAATCATAGCTAACGCTTGTCCCCCGTACCCAAAGCTTGTACCCATTCTTCCTAGAGTTTCTAAAGTGAGGAATTCTCGTGTTTCCTGAAGAAGCAGCAAATTTACCAGCCTCCACTTTTTGAGAACGTCCGCTCATTTTGGAAGTTATATGTATATGAATGCCTTCTTTTTGTATCTGTTTATATTAAGAGAAATGAGAAAAGTTTCTAGTAGAATGCGCTGCGAGTTGCAAGTTGAAATTTTCCTCGCAATCTATCGGCCTCCAGTTGTCTAAAGTAGGCAGAATCCTCGTCACGCTGTAGGTTGTCCTGGAATTCCTTGACGTCACGCTCCAGCTTGTGACGTAACTCTTTCCGCATTTGACGTAACACCTAAAATGCAGTAACGCACGGTGAGAAAAAAGTTTATTCTACATGCTCTCGGCCAAGTTGGTCCCCAGGGTCTGTCTTCTTCCCACCCCGCTGGAGCGAGAAGAGAAGAGATTGGCTCCCCGTACATTCCCTACACTCTAATCGTGGTGATCAGTTTGTATTCTTTGTAACTGAACAATATAATTGAATGAAAGAATGAAAGATGGTAAATTTTAAGCTCGGTGAAACAAATGTGAAGATGAAATAATGAGCAGTTCACGATCTAAGTCACCGACAGGATTCGAGCCTATGACCTCCCAAACACCGGGTGGGCGTTCAATTTAACGTAAAAATAACGAAAAAGGTCGTTTACGGATTACTACGTCCTCTTTATTTTTCAAAATGAGTCCAAGTGCCCCTTTCATTCCCTTTTTTTCACATTTGTGGTTGTACACTAGGGACAGGGCAGCTCGGAAATGGGCTTTAACGTTTCTAATTCTAGTAATTCTCATTTTCAAGGACAATCTGATGTGAACAAAAGCAACAAAACTGCAAGATAACTCACCTTTTCCTGCGCTTTTTCGCGTACTTCCATCTCGAACCTCTCACGAGCGATACCTTCAGATAGCATGGCAAATTGGTCACGATAACTGGGGTACATCAAGGATAAAACGACAGTCAGAGGATGGAGAAGGCGCAGTCTTCGTTAAGTGATATGAACGGATACCCAAAACAGACATCGCCTGTGAGATAGCTCTCCACGCGAGAGGCCACGTGCGCAGTAGGGAAAAGGAAACATGTTGCGCTTTTCACTGGCCCAAGGCAAACTTGTTTTGCAGCAAGGGACGTAAATTCCGTGTATGGTGTGACTCCCGCGTATTTTTATCCAATTTAAAAGTCTGTATTCACGCAACTTGCACAAAATTATTTTTCAACTCATTTCGTAGCAAAACAAGTTGCAAGTTTTTGTTACCCGTTTGACCGTAACTTTCGACTCCTGTTTGGGAAATGAGCCTCTAGAACTCGACTGGACCCGAGACCCGAGCAGCAGAAATGGAGCCTACTAGTCTGTTAAATATTTTGGTTAGAAGATAGGTCATAGTTTAAAGGATACAAGTTTTCCAGGGATTCAATTTCATTTTGCTGCCTTTGAGCCAGAGCTTCTCTCTTTTCCTTAGCGTATTCTCTCAGTTCCCTTATACGCTGTTTCTGAATATCCAAACCATCATCGAACAACTTCTTGAAGATCTGAGGGAAATAAAATCCCCAAAATTACTTCCAAATCCATCTTTAGTTTTATTTCATGAAGTGAAAAACGAAAATTTTAATTTTCCTGACCTGCTCCTCCCGTGTGCGTCTTTTCAACATCCTGGCGCGCATGCGTACTTCGTATTCATCATAGTAGCGTCGCGCACGCGCAGAGATTTGTCGTTTTTCTCTCAGTTTGCTTTTGACTGTACGCTGCTGTTGCTGCCTCTCCTGCTTTTCTCGCTGAAATATACAATGGAGGAGAATAACTGAGTGACCCGCAGTAACAATAAAGAGGAAAAATTGTTACGTCACGTTGCCATGGTAGCGAAATTTATGCATCTTAACAAACCGTGGTCTTGCAAATATGGCAGAGAAACGAAAAAATTGACACGTGTCTTTCCTGTCCATGATTGCACTCCAGGAACAGAACGGTAGCCCATACTTTTCTTCCATCGTTCGACAATGCAAACGGCCGTCTGCTACCATGGTAACCTGACGTCACACCCTGTTCCTTTCTATACTTAGCACAAAACGTTGCCCTATAAAACTAGACAGGAATTTAATAATAGAAAATCTTCGTGCAAGAATAAGGGGTAGTTATGAAGAATTCTAAGCACCAACAAAATTCAGGGAGTTGGCACCCTGTAAAATGAAAAAAAGCACTAAACGCAGTGCATCAAGTCTGGCACTAACGTGTCACAAAAGAAAGGTAAAGTAAAACCACCCTCAAATTAAAATGGGAAAAATACGTACAGAAAACGCGCAAACGTCCGACGGATCTGGGAGTGTGTATATTGTGTGTTGGGGGGGGGAGGGGGGGGAGGTGGTAATGTGAAAATGTAAACATAACATGGGAAAAAATAATAATGTTAAATTCTTTTTAAAGCTATCCGTCTAAAATGGGAGCAATGCCGTAATATTCTAGTTAAATTCCGCTCGTTCAAAGATATTGCGCAATGATATCTGTAAACTACACAGTAAAAGCTCACCATTCTAAGATTATGTTCCAGATCTTTCTTAAGTATCCCCACGAGGGCCTCCTGTCGCCGTTCAGCTTCTTCGATCATTCTTTGAGTCTTAGTTCGCCTCGCTTCGGTGCCAGATTTAAGAGCAGAGCTTAGATGCCGCGTCTGTTTCTGCCACATGCCGTGTGCGGTCTGGGGCGACACGTGTAGGAAGGGAAACTCCTCTAACATGGCAGGGAGTAATAAATCTGGGTGATCTAGAAATAAAACGAAAACAATTTTTAAATGGTTAATGTTATGGTATGTAGATAAAGCTAAACGCTTAAATGTATATTGTTATCGTGTGGTGCTCAAGTTTTTAAACGTCGCTGGAAAGGTCGACTTAATGTTTTAAGAGTAGTAGTACTACTACTTCTATTACTAACTACTACTACTACTACTACTACTAAGAAGAAGAAGAACAAGAAGAAAAAAAATTAAGAAACGTTCTGACAGGATGCTTGTCTTAAACGTTTTAATTCCTACCAAAACAATGCCAAAGGTACAGTATGATTTGGGTGAACAGCCAGTTTTCAACGATGTAATATTTGAACTACCATTCAAAGTCTTAAGTCTGACAGCCAACTTTCTCCACTAACCTGGACTGCCACTTCTCCCTCTCGTTAAGACGGGGCTGGCCGAGGCGCTTCTCTTTCTTCCTCTGGCTGTAACTTCAGGTCTTCTCACCGGCCGGGATTTCCTGACCTGGGACCGATAAACAGCCTCCAACCTGCCGCGTTTTTTCACTGGACTCTTCTTCTTTGGCCTTTTCTTTGGGACATTGGAAGGCAGCTATAGAAGATAAGGATCTATTAAGGTTTCTGGCAAACTGCCCACCTACCCCTCCCTTATGCCAACAATTTGCCCAAAGTGAAAAGCATGTGTTAGTGTAGAGTGTGAATCACTGACCGCAAGAGCAAGGGGGTGGGGGTGGGGAAAGGTTGCCCTGTGAACAGGCTATCAAATAATGTGTATGGTACTCACCGCCATTTTTCGTTTCTGCTGGAGAGCCTTCTCTCTCTCTTGTTCCTGTTGTATTTCTTTTAACTGGTCACGGTACGTCTGGCGCATGACTTTAGTGTGTTGCTTCCGCTGCTCCTCAGCTTCCTCATACAGCAGGCGTCTCAGACGATCCATTCTTCCAGAAACAGGAAAGGTTTCTACCGTGTCACGAAACGTTACGCCGCGGCGGGCGGGGCGTTCGGGAGAAGAATCCTCGTCTTTTGATTCAGAATCTGATTGCAATAAAAAAGAGGTGAGATATTGGGGAGTAGGAATAAAATAATGACTACCAAATGCAACGAAAGATCACTGGTTAAGATTCTTGAAAAACTGCTTGCAATCTACCAGGAGTGAATCGTTACCAACTCATATATGAAACATAATGGCCGTTTTCCAAAAAAAAAAAATGGTGAAACTCAACTTTATTAGGTGTACATCTTCACATAATTAGTCCAAATTGGAACAATATTCCATGAACCATCTCTTCAAATTCTTTAATCGTCTTTTTTGACGGAATAAAAATAATATTCCAGTTTTGTTAGTTAAGGCCATGGGCATTAAAAATGTGGATCATTTTACGTTTTTGTGAAACTGCCCACCTACCCCTCCCCTAAACCAACATGGACACTTAGGGCAAGGGGACACAGGGGACACAGGAGACACGGGGACACAAGAAACACAGGGGCCACAAGGAGACAAAGGAAACACAGGGGAACATAAGGGACAGAGAGAACATAGGTGACACAGGTGACACAAGGGACACAGGAAACACCAGGGGACCCAGGGTGAAAAAGGGAACACAAGGGACACGGGAGACGCCTGGGGACAAAGGAAACACAAGAGGACAAATGGAAAGAGGGTGACAAAGGGGAACACAAGGGAACACAGGGTAACACAGAGTAACACAGGGTAACAAACAGTAACAAAGGGTAACACTAGGTAAAAAAGGGGTAACAAAAGGGTAACACAGAAAAACAGAGGGTAACACAGAGGAACACAGTTTAATACTGGGTAACTAAGGGTAACACAGGGAAACAAAGCGAAACACAAGGTAACAAAGGGTAACACAGGGTACCAAAGGGGTAACAAAGGGGAACACAGGGTAACAGAGGGTAACAAAGGGTAACACAGGGTAACAGAGGATAACAAAGGGTAACAGAGAGTAACACAGGGTAAGAAAGGGTAACAGAGGGTAACAAAGGGTAACACAGGGTAACACAGGGTAACACAGAGGAACACAGTGTAATACTAGGTAAAAAAGGGTAACACAGGGTAACAGAGGATAACAAAGGGTAACAAAGGGTAACACAGAGCAACAAAGGGGGAGACAGGCTAACACAAGTTAGGTAAAATGAAACTAGTGGTCTATTATCACTGCTAAGTTCTCGCCCTCATGGCCTCTGAGTCAATAGCCCATTCGGCCGATTCGGGCTCGAGGAATAATTGTAAATTAACACAGGTAACGTAGAGTAACACAGGGGAACACAGGGTAACATAGAGTAACAGCCACACACCACACAGGGGGACAGGGGACACAGGGAACACCTTGGAACTGCAGGGGACACAACGGACAGAAAGGGGCACAGGGGACACATTGAACACTGGGGACACAAGGGGACACTTGCGAAAGAGGGGACAGTAAGTAAGATTGTAGTCTGTTTATGTAATTTTTATAAAAAATGTTTGGGTCAAAAATAAGGACATTATTTTGAAGAGCTGTTAAAATCGAAAAATGTGCAGCTTGTCCCGTTCATAGTCAAGGTTTATGTTACATGTGACTTCAAGTGGAACGATCTTTGAACATCATCGCGCACTTACATGTAACAACATTTCTTTTAAAAAGCTTTTTGATAGACGTGCTGCATACAAGCTGAGCTCAAGAGTTTCTTTCTTGCGGAACGTTCTTTTTAGGCCGCAAAGCGGCCGAGCGAGCTACGAAGTCGCAAGTAATAAATTATAGCTTTCAAGAAACCAAAACCAGCATGTCGCCCGGGTGGGTGACCTGGACAATATTTTCAGTCGCCCGAGGCCAAGTCTTAGTCGCCTCGGGCCACCGTGCGCCGTATTAAAAGTTAGAGCGCAGTCTTGGCTTTGTCCTCCTCTACGCAGTAAGCTTACTCTTCCCTTCTTTGCTGACGCATTATCTTTTTTCTGCTTGTGCAATCCAACCTCACTTGCACGTGATTCGAAGTTACGGCCAATAAAAATCACACATTTCTTTGTGACGGGCACCGGATACGGGAAAGTTAAAAAAAGAAGGCAATTTTTTGACTCCTAAGAAAAATACGAAAGGAATGCGGTCCCCAATTTACGACGCTGGCTGACTACGTCATCCCGCGTAACAAGCCTTATACCTTTGTATCCTCGAGGTGACGGTATCCTTGGAGACTTCCTGCTTCTTCCACTGCGACGTCCTGGCCGAGATGTGGACATCTTTTGTGTCACCCCCGCAGCGGCACTAGGTGCTCTTCTTCCATAATCTGTGAAGATCAAGACACTTGCGTTTGCTATAGTCTGCCAGTTTGATTTAATCATGTAGGTTGAGTACGGTAAACTGCCGCTTATAATCTTCCTAAGGGGTTTTAGTACGGCATATAAACAGAGGAGCTTATATCCGAGGTGGCTTATTATCGTAATAAGAAAAGACGCTTCGAAACAAGCTATAGCAGTGCTGATTTAAATACGTTTTGTTATAACTGTTTAAGTATTAAAATTTAGCTTTAAAAGCTTTAAAATACAACAATAAATCGAATTCAGAAGGGGGAGAGGGTATTCGAGGGGCTAATAATCGGATGTATTTTTTTGGCTTGCAGGTTGAACTAAATTTCCTCGCGGGACGACCAATCAGTAGCCTGCGAACAGCAGACGCATTTCCGGTCGTCGCTTCGGAGGGAGAGAAGCGACGACCAGAAATGCGTCTGCTGTTCGCAGGCTACCAATCAGAGGCAATACCCAGAACTGGGTAGTGATACGTCATCAGTATGGAATTTCTGCAGTCGTTTCTCGGACGTCATTTCTCTGGGAAACCAGTGGTAGCGTCGCGAAATTTGGGCTGTTTTCTAAGGCTAACTTACCAACTGCACTGTCACTGTTCTGGGCTAGCTCCTCATCATCAAGTTCCCTGTCACTTTCACTTCCGCTGTCATCCGCTTCCGGTCTGGGGACCTTTGCAAGGCGTCCTTCAGCTGCTGAACTAGGAGTTGCATCTGAAGGCTCAAGATCTGTGATCCTTGCCTGCACAGAATCAGCTGTCGCTCTACCTGGGTAAGTTGATGCTAATGGCTGTAAAAAGACCATTATATGTTTGGTAACGTTGGTACTAAGAACGCTGAAACAAGGTGACTGGAAGTAGATAACAATCTACGTGTCTTCCTACGTCACATGTACGTCAAAATCGAGCTTGGAACATAGTAATATAATATATCAACGTCTATACAACAGTTTGTATATGTAATAGGACTACATGCTGTCCAATTTGGAAATAATTGGATGAAAAAAATTCCGAGGACAGCCAAAATTGGACGAGGCCGTAGAATTTTTATTTCTTCGTTAAGCCCAAATACAAATATAATCTGTTGATCGTAATTGACGATCTTTACGCCTAGTCCCTGTACGGCGCCTTCCCAGGCCTTCTCGGTCAATGCATTTCGGTGACGTATCCGAGACGAACAACTCGCTGACCACTTGACCCGAAACGCATCGGCCGCGCGCAATAATAAGGCCTAGGGACTAGGCAAGAACTTGTCGAGCTCTTCATACTTTAAATAGTGAGAATAGGTTCGATGAACGCGAGACTCGTCCATTTACCAGGGATTACGATGCGGTCGTTCCCAGATTACCTGAGGGTACTTACCTTCCTTACCAGCTCTTAAATTTCAGTAGTAAAATTAAAGGGAAGGAATGTTGTTTTACAGACTTGTCCTTTCGATAAGTACTAGTAATAACCAACGGTTACGGAGTGCGGGCGACAACAATCGAAGGTCAAAACGCTTTTGCGCCAACGCTCTACTTTGCGTATGTTTCACGTGACAGATAGTCAAAAACACGAGTGATCAGATTACGAGTATTAGAAGGTCCAAACGCGCGTGATCAAATTGCGTTCTGTGCATTCCATTCATTCTTAGTGGAAGTCCAAACGAATGCTGGCTACATAAATGCGACGCATGCGTAATAACACCCTGGAGATTAGGTTTGCGGGCTCCTCTCGTCGATAAGATACATATTTCTTGGTGGCGAGATGATTTGGTAACGAGGTGACCGGATACCCAATGAAGGCCGTCTTGTAGACATGAACTAAACATACCTGTCCTCTCCTTATATTGTTCAGTCTGTCCACCAACTTGTCAGCTTGCTGCAGTACTGCTGCTCGCGCGTCTAAACTTCTCTCAAGTGTACCGCGAGGTCTGTAACTTGTGGATGGCATTGTCGAGGACACGGGCAAAGAAGAACCTAAATAAGAATTTCAACATACAAGTTCCGATAGAGAGATGCTATTTAATTTCTGCTTATAATTCATGGTTCAATTGAAGCTGTTACCATAACCCTGGACACAAATCACCCCCCCCCCCACCCTCCCCCCCCTTTTTATACTTACTGTGCTTCTTCCCCGCCTACCCCCCCCCCCCCCCCCCCCCCCTCACCACACCTCCCCTACCCAGCTTCCTCACCAAGATATGTCTTAAAATCCTGGTTCTATTACTACTTTCATAATTTCGAGTGAGAGATGTTCTTTTATTTTTTGTTTTAATTTCTGGGTTACATTGAGCTTTTCTCCCAACCCCGGGCCCCACCCCCCCCCCCCCCCCCCTTTCCACCTTTTTTTTTTTTTGGGGGCTTTTTGGCCCCCCCCCCCCCCCCCTCTCCTCAAGGACTCTACCTCATCACGTCAAATAAGATACTTAGTGGAAATGTATAGGTAACGATCTTTTCTTCTGTAATTTACCAAAACCACAAGTTTTTCAACCACTTTTCGCGTGTTTCGGGACAGTAATCTTCTCCTACCAGTCTGTCACACCTTCAAGTATTTTCCCTCAGAATAGAGGTAGCATGGACTCGTCTAAGGGGTTGTCCCGAGACGATGGTAACAGGTAAGATTGAAAGGCTACTTTACAATGTGCAAGTTTTTATATGCATGCACGCCCTTCGCTTACAAGCCTCAGGGGCGTGTAATTTAAACCACCCTTGCGTCGTGACATCTGTATGTGTCTCGTACAATAGGGTTGTTTCAGCCCGAGATACGATTCCTGATTCTGAAAACGAGATAAGAGGACCTGGGCAAAAAAAATTAGAACTGAAATTGCGACTTGACAGTTTGCATTCGACTCTATTTACAATAGAATTTCCTCCGAGTTTTAAAATATTAAACTTAATATTATCTAAGGTCATCGTTGTACAATAGAACCTTGATATAACGAGGGGCCAAGGGACTCGCAAAATACGTTCGCTAAAACGAGGTTTCGTTATATCGAGGCACTTTTACAAGTAGTTTAACGTTACTGGGGTACAGAAAATCGTTCGTTATACCGAGGACTTCGTTGTATAGAGGTTCCAGTGTAGGTTACCTGTAATAGACAGCGCTGTTGCAGTGAGTAGAGATATCGTTTTTTACCTGCAGTAGAGGGAGCTGTTGTTGTTATCAGTGACCTTCCCAGTCTGTGTCTTAACGAATCTGTACCAACAAAGCTTTCACTAGTCATCCCAGCCGTGGCCGGTCTGACAAAAGGAGGACCTAAAAAATGTATCAGAAATTTAATACCCATTTTCTTTCCTCTTTCAATTTAAATCATGAAGACCTTCTTTCTTTATTTAGATACAGTCGAAGCTCTCGTAAGCGACCACCTCGGAGATTCTAAAAAGTGGTCGTAACTAGAGCTGGTCGCTTACGAGGATGAACTCTCACAAGCGACTACACGGTAAAACAATAGAAGGTGGTCGCTTACGAGAGCTTCGAAAACTCATTAATAATTCCGTGAGTGGTCGTTGCCACGCAGGCTAAAGTGCTCGATACAGAAATGACCTTAAACTTTTACAAATACGATGCTGCACTGTACAAGATCTTTATCAACGAACCATTAGCTCAGTGCGCAGTTTCATTAACGTGTTGATTTATATATGAATAAAACTCTGAGTGGTCGCTTACGAGAGCTTAAAAACAAAGGAAAAGTCAAGTTGGGTAATCCCAAAAGTGGTCGCGGTCGCTTACGAGATCTTTTCATTACAAAGTTTAAGTCAGTTCAAATGGGGTTTCACAAAGGTGGTCCTAACTAGAGCTGGGCTGAGTTGCTCAAAGCATGGTTAGCTTTAACCATTGGTTAAGCAGTATCAAAACCAATACGTGGTCAAGGTATTAAACGCTGGTTAACGCTAACCATGCTTCGAGCAACTGGGCCCTGGTCGCTTACGAGAGTGGTCGATAGCAGAAATTTGACTGTATATGTTTTTGTTTTGCGATCACTAAATAGAATCTAGATCACCAAAAGAATACGGTCAAAAGCCTTACGTGATGATCCAGACTCTGATAAAAACACTGAGTCCGTCAAGGTTGACGTGGTTCCTGTCACCCCAGCAGGGGGAGGGCGAGGAAAGTCTGTGCTTGACACAGCCAACGCGGCATGGGGAGGGCGAGTAAATTCTGTACTTGACACAGACAACCCAGCAGTGGTGGGGCGGGTAAGGTCTATACTTGAAACAGTCACCCCCGTACTTGACGTAGTAACTACAGCAGGGGAAGGGTGAGTAAAGTCGGTCCTTGACACAGCAGTGTTTCTTGGATATGCAGCTTCTACAGAGAAAACGAACTATTAGCCTTCTTTAAAAATCCTGGCCTCACTAAATCTGTACAGCAAGGAGTAACGGAGGCGTAATATCAGATTGAGCACAATGTAGTTTCAAGTTTATTGAGTTAAGTTATATACAGCACGTCTTCAAAAACCTAGTGGTGAGGAAGCCTGAAAGAAACCACTGGGCTTTTACTCAATAGGCTTCCTCCATTAGAGTTAATAGCTTGCACTTAAATTCAAATGTATACACGCTATACCTTCCTCCCTTCTAGCACACTATGAAATCTCTCTTCACAGGTAATGTAGCACAACCATATGAACACAGGACACCCAATTTTTTGGAGCTCAACCTTGACTCATATCTAATATATCAACAAATAACTCTACCTGTGTGTTGGAGGGCAAGATCCGCGGGAGCAGTCCGTATCAGGCTGTCGGCCTGTGCAGAGGTAACTCCACCTAAAGGTCTTGTTGCTACCGGTTCTGACCTTGATAGATGACTTGTTGGAACTGCTACACCAAATGTGGCTGCTGTACTCGCCTCAGCCGAAGACTGAAATTCTTTTCAATACAGGTAATGAATACAGTAAATCATTTATAATGACCCTTTTCTTCCCTATCAGATTTGCTGGCTGCCTACTTCTAGTAATAAAGTGCCAAATAGGCCTCTCAAAAGCATTTTGGTACATTTAAAAATATATATATTTTTAAGCGCACCAAGTTCATTAGCAGAAGTGTGACTTTTCGTAAGTTTCAAATGGAAAGATTTGAAGTATGTTGGCCTATTTTGCACTAAAACTCCCAAGGATCGTAAAAACATGGATAGCAGAAAACACTTTCCGTGCCCGAAAATGCGAGCCAGTTCCGAGTTGCTCCAAGCCTCGTTCTCAAAACGAGGGTACATGTGCCATCTTTAAAAGGAAAATCACATTTTGCTTTCAACACTCATTTTCGCAAGAAATCTGTCAGGATCAAGTCACTTGTTGAGCAAGGTGCTATTCCGTTGGACATGTTTGGGTATTACTCATTATCGACTTTGCCGGTTTTCATTTTTACTCTTCCAACAAGCTTCAACATCTCCCACTGTTTGTTAAGCAACAAATATGCACTTTATGCACTTTATTTGAGCGTCAATGTATTTAGCACGAAAGTGCTAATTGGGGAAACTATTTTTACGTCTCCTACTGGGGACGGGACCGCCATTTTACGTGGTCATCCGAGCCACGCGAAGGTCTAGCCATTTGCAGGGCAAAGGGAGTACCTTCATTTCTCAGTTAGTTTAAGACCCTGAGTATTGGTCCCGCCCCGGGAATCGAACCCGCGACCTCCCGCTCTGCAGTCAAGCGCTCTACCGACTGAGCTAATCCTGCCGCGGTCGAAACCGAATTTTGTTGGAACCGAATTTCTTAAAGCCTCTTTCTTAAAGGCGATATTTAATACAGGGGACGTGATTCGCAACGATAATTTTTAGCGCAACACAGCGTTACAATGTTGCAACAATGTTGCAACCATTTGAAACAGTTGTCGTAATACTGAGTTGCGCTAAAAATCGTCGTTGCGAATCGTTCTGTGTAAGATCACCTTAAAACAAGGGTAAATGTCAAATAATTGAAATGAAAATCATTTTTCAATCTTACGCAAATCAGTAACATTTAGATGAAAGTTTTGCACCTTGTGGAAAGCCTCATTTTGAAAGCGAGGGTTTTTGAAACTGGGAACATCCTACATGTAATCAAATGTAAAATGCCACAAGTGCACGCCTCGTTTTTGGCGGGAAATCGCATTGTCAGCGTTTTTTCGAGAGGAAACCGCATGTCTTACAGCGTTTTTGAAAACTAAAGACAACAACAAAGCAAAAAACGAAGTTGTATAAATACAATAACGGAGAAAACATTTTATCTCAAGACAGTATCATTTTGCTGGCTAAAGAGGGAAACTCAGGTTTTATTGTACTAAGAGAAGTAATTTTTACTGAAGCTTATTAAACGTGCTTTTATGTTTTCTAACTCTATTTAAGCGCTCCACTAGAACTACCGTAAAATTCCCAAAAAAGGCCCTCCAAATATAAGCCCCCAAAACCGGTGACGCAAAAAACCCTCCGTTAAATCGCCCCTCCAAATATAAGCCCCCCGGGGGCTTGTACAAGGAAAATTGCCCTCAAATACAAAGTAAAACAAAGCAAAAACGGTAAATTTACTTACAACTGTAAGGCTAGCCCAATCGATTTGAAACACAAATTTCCCTCCAAAGATAACCCCCTCCGAATATAAGCCCCTCGGAAAGGACGTTTGAAAAATATAAGCCCCGGGGCTTATTTTAGGAATTTTACGGTATTACGCTTATCGGTTATTGAAAAAATTGTCTTTAAAACTACACTGTAAGTCAGATTGTCTGCCTAGCTCAAAGAGCTTTTGTTCTAAAGTAAGCCTATGAGTCAGCGTTTTCTTTCTTTGTCATTCGACTAATGATTTCTCCTTTTTTTTCTATAAAAGTAACTGAAGTAGCCAGGGGAAATGCTCCGACATAGTAACCAGAGGAAATCCCTGGCACCCAGTCCTTAGAGACTGCCCTGACTGTTGTAGGCCAGAATGAAATTCAGGGAAAAAATGATTTCAATCTTGCTTGTTTCTCAATTTCCTTTGTTTCCTAGCCCTGATTACGCTTATCTATGACCACAAACTTCATTTGGACCTACTACATTTACTATTAGGCCAAGTAAAAAAAAAGCAAACGTTTCTCGTCCGGATTTCCATAAAAATAATAGTGGGTGGACGCTTTTTTGTTATTTTCAACATTTTTATTATTGCCAATTGAATGCTTTCTTTTGGAAGAGTTTATTAACAAATTATTACCCTACCCCATGGAAAAGTAAGAGTTCTTCGGTCAAATATTAATAAGTAAAACGTCAGTTATTGATTCAACACAGATTTGGTTGATACATGTTTTAAACAACGTGATATGTCATATGATATATTTCAAGAGGTAGGGCCCATTAAAAACGTCAGTAGGACTCAGTATTTAATATTAATGCTTCGTTTTGTGGAAAGTAAGGCCTTTTAAACAGGATTGTAAAATTGTTGATGTTTAAAGTAATGCCTATTGGTTTTTGCTCGTTCCGACTTTTCCAATAACAAATAAAAAAAATAAGAGAGGCAGGCGGAGATGAGAAACATTCTTTTCCCTTGATTTACAGTATTACTATTACAGTATTATTTTCACTATTACCTGACGGCAGTCTACCATGAGGCTGTGTGTGGTGAAAATGATGATGATAATGATGATACACAGGAGCTGATTGATCACTGCCATCCTGCGACCCACTGTCTGTGACTACAGTCTTGGCTGGTCGCTCTCTTGGGCGGAGACCTAGTGCATCAAATCCACCTACTGCTCCACTAGAAGAGTCTTTTGTGGGTTCCAAAGGAGATATCTGTTCAGGCCATGCTGCAGATGACGAGGATGCAGACAGAAAGCTGGATAAAGGCTTGTCTTGGTTTTCGGGTGAACGATGCTCTGACTAAAAACATCATAATTATGACAAAAAAGTAATAATTATTTTTTCAAGCTTAGTCATTGTATTAATTACATTTAAGAGGTGACTCCACAAACTTCATTGAGTGCTAGGGTTAAGCGTGATACTTGTAAGTGAATACGATTAAGCAATGCAAACAAACAGTTAGGTGTAACTAAGTATAAACTATTAAGTCTTCAGTAAGTTAATGTGGAGCATGGCCGGCCATTGGGAAGCAAAGGAAACTTTCTTTGGAAAGAGAACCTATGACATTTGTTAACACATCATGTTTCTTGTAAATAGAACGAATATTTTGCGCCCAGGACACAAGAAGATGGGATATGATCTTCTGGGTAAGTGTTGTCCTGAAATGGCCCACACTCATTTATAATAATATTATAAAGGAATTACATGAACTGTACAGACAATACCTGACAATTATAATAATGTTAACTTTATTGCTGAATGAATGAATGAACATCCTTCATTTGAACACAATCAATAATTATAAAAGCAGTAAATTGCTTGAGGGGTGGTGTGTACTAAAAAATATTCTTATCTAACTGTGGTTTAAATATACATTGAAAAAGCTAAAAAATGTACATGAAATGCTAAAAATATAGGTTAAAATTTAAGATTTGATAATTACATGAAAATTCACAGATTTGAAAATTAAAAGTTAAAAATTAGATGATCTCTTGGGCTCTGACTGAGTTGATAGACTGTTGAAACTAAAATCCTTAAACAACAGATCCATTTTCACTTCACTGGAAAACTGTGTGAAATTGCAAGAGTTATTAAAGTGATCAGAAAAAAAGTTCAATAGTACAGCGCTTCTATACAGTATGTAATAGTTCATAAAATTTGTAGAAAATCGTGGAACCACAATCTTGTTTTTTCCTTTTAGATTATATGGACTTTCTCTAAATTCTGAATCAATTAGGCTGTGTTGTAACAGGCAATGTTACAAAAGAATTTCAAAAGACTTAATTTATACATTTCATTGCTTTTTTTACCTTATCTTTAGCACCAGAGGAATCCCCAATCACTGTAGGGGTTAGAGTGTATTGTGTCAGCTCATCTTCCATAGATGTGCCATCTCGGCTGAGCAAAGATGGTTCAGGCCTCCTAAAAATAATACACCATGATCATTATAAACTAATTTTAGAGTTAGTTTAGCAGCCTTTAAGCATGCAGTTTGTACTTGTACATCATGAAATACTGACAATCTCTTTTGAGGTCATTAGATTATTCTTTACAAAACATTGTCCAAGTAAACAGACTTGTACAGTGTAGCTTAATGCAAACACGGAGAGAGGGAGATAAAGTGTAAGCCAAGTGGGTCAGGAGCCAGGGTTAAGTAGCAAAACCCTCTATCCAGGATGTGTCGGTAGTCCACCAAAAGGTTGCCCCCAACAAACTGACATACTACACGAAAGAACAATATATTATTTTTATATTTCAGTGAAGAGAGAGGTCTGACAACGTGTGAGCAAAGCGAGCAATAAATTACTCTCTGATAGCCTGTATAACAGGTGTTATTGGAGGCAGTCAGGTTAGTTTTGGGGCAACGGTGCAAAGCGTGAAACATGTCAGAAGAAGAGAAAGATAAAAAAATAATTATTATATTATACCATGCTATTATTTATTTCTTTTTCCCTGATCCTCTTCTGTATCTTGTACTTCACACTCACACCCCAAAAACCTGCCTGAATGCTCCCAATAATGCCTGTTATGCAGGCTAATTGTCTAAGAGAACCTGCTCCTTAAAGTGATTTTCAAATTCATACGAGCCACTAAACTATAACAATAAATGGAATATCATCATATTATTCTCTCTTCTCAAAGAGTTCGCTTCTTCAGATCAAATAAATTTAGTAGTAACCTTTTCCCAGTAACTACTACTGTAGACTTAATCAATAAACCTGTAATCCTACCTAGATCTACTGCCAAAAGCTCCTGTCCCCTGAGAATGAGAACTATCCCTAAGTGTAGCCAACCTTCGAGAAGCATTCTCAGCGCTTCGGCCCTCACCGTTACCACTTTGAAAAAACTTGTGCTGCTCCTGAGAAGCAATAGGAGATGAAGCAGAACTGCTAGATCTTGAGTCTGGAAGGGGGTTCCTGGTCTCTTTTCTTGCAGTTTTCATAGATGAAACTCTGTCTGAGGTCGTTTCCCCAAGTCTGATCAGTTCCCCTGTTGAATCACTCACAGTGTCCCTTGAGTCGCATAACTGGTGAGGTAAAGTATTGAGCAGCAAAGTTAGGAGAGGGCTACGCACTATCCAAATATTCCCTATGAGCTTACAAGTAATAAGGTTCAGACCACTGTGGCTGCCTGTAAGTTCAATCCAACATACCGTTAAGTGTAAACTACATTTATTTTGTAACTAGGCAACATCACCACATGGTTTAGGGGTTTGCCACTTGGTCACCCTGGGCTCAAATCCTGCTTAGCCTACTAGCTAGGGTTGTTCAAATGGTATTGCACGGGGCTGAGCTCTGAAACTGTTGGGAGCCCAGATTAGTGAAGAAGGTACAAAATCAAGGGTACACAAATAACTTACATATAGTTTATTGAAATTCAATGAAACTCAGCAAAGTGAAACAACATGGTGACAGGCAATATAATAGTCTTTGCATCATCATCCTTTTACTCACCAAACCAACCCTGGGGGGGAGTACTTTAGGAATTTTTGGGTGGGGATGTGCTGCTAGAACCCTGGAACCACACTACTTCAAGGTCACATGACAACTTACAATGAAACTGTTTCCTATTTTACACTGGAGTGACTGTCAGTGGGTTCCAAATTTACTCACTTGTTTTAATACAAATGTTAAAAAGCATACCGTTGAAGTGTCAGCTTCAAAGCCAGTGGAATTTCCGGTTCTCATCAAAGCAGGGTCAGGATCTCCATGTGGTGGTCTTCTTAATAGGTCACCCCCAAAATTTTGACCTCCTTCTGCACCTGGATGTCCAGTTTCATCTGTGAATTGGTTTGGCCTAAAAGAATAAAGCAACTGTTTTAACTTAAAAGTATTACACACAAAGATTGAAATAATATTTGGCAATATTATGTTTTATAACATAACGCGCGTGCTTTCCCTATATAAGTCCTATTGAGCCGCTATGAACAAAATCTTTATTTACGCACGCCCGTGCGTAAATAAGATGACGTGAGCATTTTTTTTTCCCTGGCTGCAAAGTTGTCGTCTTTTAAGCTGCAGTACACTTTTCCTTGTCTTTAAAATATGGAAGAAACCAGCGAAAAACTGCCCAATTTTTCTATCGGCATTGACCTTTTCGGTCCTGATCCAACAAGCAGCAAAAATAAAGCCGAATTTAAAAAAAAACTCGCAAGTTGCGCGTTTTGCAAATTTGTCGAATACCAGCTGCAGCAAATTTTGGCCGAAAGACATTCACTGGGAACAGAACAGACACCAACTGGTCATCAACAACATTTAAAGGCAAAATTTCCGTTTTTATTGTTGTTTTTAAATTTGTTATGCACTTTGTTATCTCCGGACAATCCGACTGAAGCAGGAAAATTTCTCTCGCAATAACAACACAAATTACACAAGAAAACATAAATTTATTACTCACAAAAACAACTGCTGCCAGGTCTTCTCAAGAAGCCGTAATGACTAGCCAATGTTCGTAAATGAATATAAGTTTAAACAAGGATGACAGTCGTCTTCGCTAAAAACATGTTTTCTGGATTTCGCCGAGCGAAACGTAAAGATCTTTTTAGCAAATCCAAACCATACTCCACGACTTCTCACGAACATGTCAAGAAGCATTTTAACTTTAGGTGAACTTTAAGACTCTTTTACCTTTGTTTCTGCTTAGTTTCCATTGATCGTTAACGAATAAAGAAGCAAATTTTCTTTGTCACTGTTACAGAAAGAATATTTTCATTCAAACTAGACGATTGTGGCGTGTTCGTAATCAGCCAATAGAACCGTTTGTTATTGTGTCGCGCGTTACGAGAATTTTGCAGTTAATCAAAAAGCAAGCATTTTTGTCAGCTATGTTATAAAAGAATTTGCTCATGCTTTTAGCTGTGCGTATATCGAGTTATGGATGCACTTGGGAAGTTTGGAGAGCACTCAAGAAGCTAGAGTTGCACTCGGCTATCGCCTCGTGCAACTCTTACGCATCTTTTGTGCTCTCCAAACTTCCCGCATGCATCCATAACTCGATATACGCACGCTAAGCATGAACAAATTCTTAATTTACAAATTTACTTGCCAGTAAAGTCAATTTAGAAGAGTGAAAAGTCCTTTTAATAAGGGCTTTCAAGGTATAAACCTGTTTATTATATTTAATAGCTACTGCAAAAAAAAAAACTAGATATAGAATTTCCCATAAGTTGACCAACATATATAATCATAAAAATGGACATTAAGAGAGTCTTAAAAAATGACAAATGACATACTTTAAATATTACATTTAAAAAAAAAAACAAACAAACAAGAAGGTAGTTTTTTTTATCACTCAGCAAAGACTTATCTTACAAGTATTTTCGATTTTGGCATAACACATGTAATCCCCCCTTGGGTAAACCTATAGTTCCTCTTCCCACCTTTCACAACTACATGTATAAAATAAATTATTAATTCTAGTACGAAATTAAATAAACCTGGTTGTTTGAGATCTCGGTTCATAGAGAGCTTGATAGGAGGGACCAAACTCTTCTCTTAACACTCCAGAAATCACATCATGCTCAGAGGTCAACAGATTAGAGTCCTGTTCATCAATAGAACCTGTAAATTATAAACATTGGTAAAGAAATAATTTCCAGATCATTTATGAAAATTTTTTTACTGACTACTTTCATGTGTCTTGAAACAACAACTGTGCATACACTTCCAGTTATTTATACATATTTTAGGTAAAAGTTTGAGTACATGTATTTCCTTTTCCTTGTATCTAAAAATATAATATGTTGCAGCCTGAGTATGAGCTTTATCATTACTTTGATGTTTGATGCACATACTCCTTCAGTGACATACCTGCATCTGATTCATCCACACACTCCATGAAATACTCAAGTAAGCCAGCAAAAATCTCAAGGAAGTTTCGGATGGAAACTTTATCACCTTCAACAATGCCTTTCCCAGAAATGTGCGAGAGGTCCACATTAAGGACGTCTGTGGCCACCAAGTCAATCACTATTTGGCAGTTAATAATGTGCTGCTCAATTGTTATAGGATTCTCAATTATGCCTGAGATGACAACATTAGCACAAATAAGTATTGAAAAAATATTCAGCTAAATGCAATAACATTTTGAATAACATTTTTGAATAACATTTAGCAGTCAGTATGTTTACATTCTTCAATAATAGTAGAATATTGTCTTCTGTTCTGTGTACTTTGCATTTGGCATAAATTTCATTGACAGCTAGTCTAACTTTGGGTGGAAAACAAACCATTTCACAGTCAAACCTCTCCTTAAATACTTCTCTATAACAGAGAGTTCTCTTGGCCCCAAATTGCAATACTTCTTACATGCTCTACATTCTATACTTTTAATCATAGACACCAATGTGTCTGTAAGTCTTTGGTGCTAGTAATAAGGAGGTGAGACTGTAATAGTGTTGTTTCTTAAAAATTACCGTAAATCCCCTCTTTAGCCCCCCTTTCTAATAAGCCCTCCCTCTTCAGGGGAAAGTTAGTAAGCTAGTAGTTAGAAAGTTAATAAGCCACCCCCCCCCCCTCCTCCTTTTTATTCACTAATAAATGATAAACTTTATCAATCAATTATGACTGTAAAACTTTTTTTGGACTGATCCAGGATGGTTTATTCACTAGCTAGAATTTCAGATTTTTTTTTGAACCTCGACTTCATAAACTCCAACTTATTTTACTAAATACTTTTCAACTTTACACTCTAATTCCATTAATCTAAGCCCCCCCCCCCCCCCTCCTCATTATTATTCACTAATAAATGATAGACTGTATCAATCAATTATGACTGTAAAACTTTGTGTGGACTGATCCAGGATGGTTTATTCACTAGCTAGAATTTCAGATTTGTTTTTGAACCTCGACTTCATAACCTCCAACTTATTGTACTAAATACTTTTCCACTTTACACTCTAGTTCAATTAATCAAGAACTGATGCAGTCCATCTTTGCCGAATTAAATAAGCCCCCCTCTCAAATAATCAGCCCCCCATCTTTATTAAGCCTCCCTCTTACGTAAATGTGTTTGAAAGAAATAAGCCCCCCAGGGGGCTCAATAGAGGATTTACGGCAGTTGTATCCACATGCACCTCCTGAGTGCCTTTCTTTCCACCTTACCAGGCAAGTCATCTCCAAGTAGACCTTTGTAAACTCCCACAAAAAAGCTATCATTACATTCCTCCAGTCTAGAGACTCTACCAGGAAGATTGCATTTGTCCAACAACTCATTTGCTATGGCAATAAATGCTGAAAGACATAAATGTACAGGAATAATTTAGCAGCATATCTATTCATAATAAATATATCAAAAACACCAAAATTCGTCCTTTGTTGTTGTTTTTTGTCCTCCCATTTGACACACAATTTAATACAATCAAGATCGAGGTGACACTTGAAAAGACTCTTTTATGGTGAAGGTTTTGTTCATACTTGTACAGTGGACTGCATGGCTTCGTAAACTAAGCTCATTTTAAACACTTTTTCAACAGAAATGTTGAGTTAAGCTTAAATGCATCACCACTTATTTTTGAGGGTCACTCAAAATAAGGATCGAAAAGTTAAGTCTACAGTATATTTGCCAACCTCGACAGGTCGCCTGACGATAGACGAGTCATCACCAATCTGTCTCCCTTGTATGCGACTTCAATACGAATATCAAGTTTAAAACTAACCTTCATCTTCTGACGAATCCAAAAGACCATTTTTGGCATCCATCGCCTAAATACAATATCAACGTACTTCATTCAAAACGTAGAACTTCGATCATACTTCCCGAAGACGAAGCCATCTTGTTTTGAACTTTCGCTTCTTTGAAATGCGCAACTCCATTGGCTGAATTATTTCATTCCCAGATCTCCTTTCCCTGCCGCCCCGCAAGGACTGGGTCTGTCTGTCTCTCTTCTTTTTTTGCAATAATTGACTTTGATTTTTTTTTTCGTATCGTTTCTTTTCTTCGCCTATGGCTTCTTTGGAGTCTGGCCTGGCTTCTGACCAGCTTATGACTGAAATTGGAAAAATATTAAAAGTATTTCGGAAAGCTTTTAAAAATGCGTCATGAAATCAAAATCTTGGCACAATAAAAGTAGGAATTGTTTTTGGTAAAAATGAAATACAATAGTTTTTTGCAGGTGTATTCACCTGCCTATTTCCTGTTTGTCGTTTTTCGTATGCACACAGTAGACAAAATAAACCGTGTAACATGTGTAAGGAGACAAGCTTTTTCGGGCGTCCATCTACCAAGGAAAAAGAATTTATCCCAGGAAAGAAGTCCAAGGGTAACTGAAAAGGAGTTTAGCCATTGCCTAACAAAGCTACATACATTCTAATTAAATCTAACGTCAGTAAACCGTATAAACATTACTTACCGTGAATGCTTTTGTCGAAACAGCATAAATAAAGAGTAGAAAAGAAGATTAGTAGTTTGTCTGCTTCAAATAACCCATTTACAAACAGATATGATGGTCGAACGATTGTCTTAAAACAGACTTCGTTTAGAACTGATCTTAAGTCTTTGGCATCTTGCAGAAAAGGCGTGATTCGCTTTCAAAGCCAACCTTGCGCTCATACGCGTTGTCTTCGCTCGCCTGAAAAACGCGAAACATATGCTATTCCTAAGGAAATGGTAGGCTACACCCCCTCGCCAGTTTCTGTTTGTCGTTATTCATTCATTCATCTACGATAGACAAAATTACGATGATGGTTGTTTGTGCGGTTCCCCAGTGTTACATTAAGACCAACAACAACTCGGTTTTAAAATCACCTCAACGAAAAGGTGAGTTCGGGTTTTTCGATAACATTTAGGGTCTGAGGAGTGAATTCCGCGCGCGAGACTAACATACATGCTCCTGGCGAAAGAATGTCTCGTCCCAAGCAAAATCAAAGAACAGGACCATGAACTCCAAAACAAAACATTTCAACAACTTTAAAAAACGGTTTTCTTCTTCCAGATACCACGTTACAACAGGTTTTAGACTTTAAAATGACAATTTTCTGGTCAAAATGTTTGCTCAAGGGTGACATATTAGTTTCTAACAAGTTTTCAGCACCAGAAAATAATAAACGCCCACTGTTCTCGAGGAGAATCAATGTCATCCAGTATCAGTGATCACAAAAAAAATTATAGCCGACTAAGTATTAATATCCATTCGCCCTCGTGGGGTTGATTCAATAAACAACTGAAATAATGAAAAATGGTTAACGAATTAGCAAATGTAAACACAATTTGTTTTTTTTATAATATCAAATTCTGTGTGCAATGTTTTTTTCCTCATGAAAGCCCAATTAGCAGAAGGTTAATTCAAGTCCATGTAGTTCAGTTTTTTTAAAAAAAGGGAATTACGTGGAGGAGCAACATCAACCTTTATGTACAAATATCGCCGTTGCTTGTGATGAGATGTCTTCAGATGAGGCTGAGGTCGTGGTATTCAATCTGCTTTCCATTCGCCTTTTGTCCTTGAAAAATGGCAGGATCGGTGGTAGTTTTCAGCGTTTGCATCTGAATTTCCTCATGAGTCTGGGGCGGATGTTTCTCCTGGTACCTTTTACGATAACACTTGTGGCAGGCAAACCAAAGATGAAAATACCCCATCATACAGAGGAACGCCACGATCAAAACCAAAATAATGATCATGAAAGGTAGTGATACGGCGCGTGGAAGCATTGTGATGTCTCTCCTCGTGCTGGGACACGCGACTGGCTTTCTTTGCGGGCGACGCTTAAATGGCTTCTTCCTCAACGCTTAAGTCGGTGAAAGCTCTCTCCCAGATCTGGAAGAAGCGAGAAATGGTGGATGTCTGGTAATGAAACGTGATGTAAAAAATCTTTGCCTAGTGAACACAATAGCAACTCTCATTTCCTGAATTTTGCCATTTTGCAGCTGATGTCTTTTCCTCCGCCATTCTTCTTTCTTCTTAAGCGAAACGCTGCGTCAAATCCAACAATGAAGAGGATGTTGGACAAATAAAGAAAAAAAAATGAACAAATGCAAATAGCACTTTTCAATCCGCAAACAGCATTTGCCAGGCATAGAGAAAACATCACGTTTAATACTGTAAACTTTAAACGGTATCGACTACAAGATACTTCAAACTACACAAGTTCCAGAATTTATTTTTTCCCCATTTTCCGCGTAATCGGCGCAATGTTGACCATCCACCGTTGCACTTCCTCGTTTTTATTCTTATCGTTATCACTTCTTCCCAATGTTTGGTCACGGACGAACGAAAGGTGAAAATTTAAACTCATTAGGGGGACACTTCTTTAAGGGGTAAATTGTGATTTCCTTCAGTGATGCTTAAATACTGATTATTGTGAAGTTCTTCGATGACGTTTTGCCACAAAACCAAAGCTTGGGCATTTTGTTATGAAAATCAGTGTATAACACGATGGTTTGATCACAAAGGCCAATTGATTCATTTCCCTTTAGATTCACCAATGACGCACACACTATCACCTCGAAAACTGGAGTTATCAAGATAACCGGAATCCAGCTAGTGTAGGCTTTCAGATCTCGACTAATCACAAAAATCAGGTTTTGATAAATAAAGATTCGGACACGGCAAATGTCCCAAATATTTACATCCGAACAAGGACACGATCGAAATGTTTCTGGTCAGTAAATGTGGAAAAATATATAAACTGCAATCATAAGCATTTTATGAAGAAAACGAGGCTCATTAAATATCTCGATAGCTTCAATCCATTCAACACTGAGTCGCCCCGTAATCAGCAATCCGGAATCCGGGAAATTTTTGATTGTGGAATCCGGAATCTTAGGCTTTGGAATCTGGAATTCAGCTCAATGAATCCGGAATCCCGTTAACGTCATTGGAATCCCGATTCCAAGATCTACGAACAAGGAATCTTGAATCCAGTATCTGGAATCCGGAATCGACAGATTGTCTTGGATGAACTTACATGGTGCGGGGTGGGATGGTGTGTGTGTGGGGTGGGGATTGTAAGCATACAAATCAAAGACCGTCACACGCAGCTTTCGCTTGCGGTCTCTGGCAGCCCTATCAAGACATGCCCTTTCGGGGACGTGCCGCTGGAGGTGGTATGGTTTTTTGCCCCGTTGCTTTGAACAGTGAACACGCAGGGAATATATTTTATCAGGGTCTGAACCCGATAAGAGGGAGTATGATATGCAAGACTGGCATCAATATATGAACAATCCCAAATCGGAGGACTTTATCTGAATTTAATTAAGGAGCTATTAGTAACATCAATTCATTTTCGTGAACCGTAAGTGATCTAATATACGCCCTCTCTCAAATAAACGCCTCTCGTCCAATAAACGCCCCCCGCCCCCTCCTACGATTCTAGGTTTGTTTTAGCCGCCCCTCTCCAATAAATGGCCTGTCTGATATATGAACGCCCCAAGTACTAGCAAATAGCAAAATAGAGCAATATCATTCAATTTATTCAGTTTCTTGATGATTAAATACACCTTATTCGATGGTTTAGCATATAATTCGTGCGGATATTTTGCGAGTTGCGATATGCTAAGCCATCGAATAAGAGGTTTATTATTCCACTACAAAAAAAATTATCTGGCAATTGGCTTCTATTTTTTGGTAAGAGTATTCAGAGACATCCTGATTCTGTCTGTGAGAATGACGTTAACAATTAGCAAAATGTTCGCGCGTATTATATGCCAAACCATTGAATGAGAGGTTAATTATTTTACTGCAAAAGAAAAATGGTATTTTGGCCTCTATTTTCTAATGAGAGTATCCAAAACATCCTGATTCTGTCAGCCACAGTTGCTCCTTTTGCATCCGCCGGTATTCGCCCTGTTGTAAACCGGTTAAACCAGGACACTACGGTGTATTACGGCCTCGTATTTTGCTTGTTCTCTTGACCTTAAATGGTAAAATGACATAATAGTGGAATAATAACAAGAGTTTGTGCACTGCATTTTGTCAATGTCCAGTTAAGAGTAAGGATTCTGAAATCAAAGTCAGTTGAGTCGATTTAAAAAACGACATGGATCTCTAAACGGCCTATGGACTGGATAGTGAACTTTGTCCTTCACCAGGGAGGTCTTTACGGTTATTTTCGTCTTAGACAGGGTGAGTAAATTGCCTGGTACTGAAATGCAATATTACCGCCACAAATGCCTATTCACTCTGTGTTTATTCCAATAACAAAAACCTCTAAACAACACCTGGCCCCAGTTGTTTAAAAGTTGGATGGCTCTATCCACCGGATAAATCACCATCCAGTGGATAAGTGTCAGGGAAATCAATTGTGTTATCCACTGAATAGTGATTTATCCGGTGGATAGCGCTATTCACCTTTTGAACAACTGCATGTGGGGCCTTTTAAATAAGCTTTTTAAATGTTTGAATGTTTGTTTTTGAATTTTGAGTTCGCATTTACCCCTGTACAGCGGCGGATCCAGGGGGAGGGTGCAGGGGGTGCGCACCCCCCCCTGGGATGACCTGCGGCCGCTTTCTAATTAACACTGTGCAGTCACTTGACAGACATATAAAATCTGCTCTATCGTTTGGTATGTATTCTCAGTAGTTCACATTATGTTATTCCTAATCAAAAGCCCTCTTCTTCGTATTCGCGTTTAAAATTTTTTACGTCATCGGTCAGTTAGTGGTGCACCCCCTCCTAAGAAAAATCCTGGATCCGCCCCTGCTGTAATACCATATTTTAAAAAGACTTCAGAAAGTAAAATTATATACAAAACGCTGAACTAAACT